CTTAATCACCCGGTTATTACTTCGCGACTCACATTAACTCCCTCACGCTCTGCGCTGTGACCCGTGTTTTACCCCCCCCCCCCCCCCCCCGGTCTCAAAATTGAAGGAACAGAAAATTCGCTGAAATGTTGGATATACCGAGTTTAAAACACAAGGGTTGACTTGAATACAGTGTCCCCTCAGCACCTTAGCAGAATTCTCGTGCCCTATATCCTCCAAGTCAAATATCGACCGGAGATGATGCACAGGCTGGCTGTAGTCTTTCGTGCCGACGTCGTTGACGTGGGGGATAGGGATCCCGGCCTACGAGGAGGTGGGGAATTTCCGATTACGCTTCGGAGAGGTTTCCGATGAAATAGGTTAACTGCTCCGTAGTCTGCTCTGAGATAACGCGAACTACGTCGAAATAATGTACAACATATGCTCTCCGGAGTACTCCGTGCAAACCTTCAAATTCGGGCTCGGCTTGCCGATCCCGGCGTCTAGGGCACAGACCAGAAAATTTGGAGATGTGAAGAATGGGTAAATTGATCCGTATCTCTTTTCTAATGGGATAGAAATTCGAATTAAGAAACCTATAAACGACCAGGCATTCTTCTCTTTATCTAGAAGCTTGGAGTCCGACCTACTATATGCGACTCGGGAATGGAGACAAAACAGCCTCAACCACCATTAGAATATTAGCACTTTACTGCAACAGTTCGCTTCTAATATCAACGCTCAAATCGTATAATACACAAGATCCTCCTTGATATGTTGACTAACATCTGACAGGCATCATTCAGGTCCAGTGACTAACAAGTTACATCATTCATCTATATAACACCACATAACTATCATCAATTGTTCGCCCGTTTGTACAAAAATATTTCATTGCAGTACAATATGGCATCCATATCACCCTCCCCGTCCCGCTCCGCCCTTAGGAACAAGGCACACCGATATCGCATGCTCGCCCACCTACTCTCCATACTAGACCGATACCTTTCGTGGCCACTTCCCCCAGGACCAAGCGTCGGAATTGCTATTCCGTCCACAGTCAGCAAAGCCCCGGGATCAATCCAACTCTACTTCTTCACCGCACCCTCAAACCCCCTCTATCCTCGCAAGCAAACCAAGCCATGCCCACCCCGTCCCGTCCTCATCAACTTCCACGGCGGAGGCTTCTCCATCGGCCATGCTCGTGATGATGCCCGCTGGGCCGGTACCGTGGTAAATGCCTACCCAGATGCTGTGGTAATAAGCGTTAATTACCGTCTAGCCCCGGAGCAACCCTTCCCCGTCGCATTAGAGGACGGCGTCGGTGCTATACTATGGCTATGGCAAGAAGCAAAGAAGTACAATCTTGACAAAACGCGCTTCGTGCTCAGCGGAGCCAGCGCAGGCGGGAACCTCGCTCTAGCAATGCCATTCAGACTGCACGATGAACTACAGAAAAAGCGCTGGGCGTCGATACGCGGGGAGGTAGCGTTGGCTGGTTTGGTAGTATTCTACGCCGGCACCGACTGGACACGAACGCGGAAAGAGCGTGACGCTACAAATCCTATCGCCCCACAAAAATCCATGATTTCTCCTTCTTTATTCAAGTTCTTCGACGATTCCTATCTTCTCGCTGCGGGTTTACCGATACGGCCGGGGACGGGCCGGGTGGATATGTCGCATCCTTATCTTTCGCCTGGTCTGGCACCTGCATCTCTGTTGCATGCGGCGTATCCGCCTGCTGTGGCAATCTATACTTGTGGGTGGGATCAATTGCTTGTTGAAGGAAATACGTTCCGGGAAAGACTTGGTGGGTTCGTTGAAGACGGGAAGATGGCGAGTATAGGCGGGTTTGTGATTGAGGATGCTGTTCACGGATTTGATAAAAAGCCCTCTTTCTGGAAGGGGAATCAGGTGCGTGAAAGGATGTACGGGGATGCTATTAAACAACTGAAGGTGATGTGGAAGATGGATTGAATTGATTCTCAAGCCCTGTAGGTACCTGGATTAGTATAGCACCTGTGCACACCCAGGTTTCAGGCTGCAATTGCAACTTGTTCTCTATAATGCGGCATTTGAGGGATCAAGGGGCCCCGAGGAGATATTTGCAAGAAGGTTGGAAGTATGTACTATAAGAATTTTGGGACTGTTATAAGGACCCTAATTGCTAATTCGACCCCCCCCCCTTTGGTTTAATGGGACCCCCCTCTGCCAGATTCTGCCATATCAAACCTTACATATAAGGCATCAATTTAATTCTGTCTTGCTAGGGAGTTCGACACCAGGGCGGTGTGGCTGGCGGTAAGCTGAGTCCAGGGTCGCATTAGCCAAAAAAGGGGGGCCCCTCGAATTTAAGACAACTTGTGAATACCATGTCTAATAACATCATGAGTACGGAGTATAATTTTTATTCAAACGTCCTTGAAGTTATAACATTAATATTTGATCCAAATTATACTGATTGTACTCAAAGTCCTCCAATACTAGTTTAGTCAATGTGAAACGGGACAGGATGGAACCAAAAACTCCCCGTATTTACCACGCATTCGGGAATGCCTTGTGGTAAATATATTCCCCCTTTTGTCGCTCATAGAAACCCATTGCCTCATCGCAGATATCCATATTTACCACATTCATTCGAATATCATACTGTCTGATCCGCTTCTCCATCGGCTCCGCAATTGCCATATACTCAGTTCTGACAACAGCAGTTTGAGCAAGATCAGCAGTCTCATGCAGTGAAAGCTGACCCCTTCGCAAGATGGAATAGAGCAGCCTCAAGTTCTCAATTTCACTTTCATAAGCCTCCAGAATATGGATCACGGATAGAAGGGTCGAAAGTGATAGACCCCGGAAAAGCTTCAACGAAGCAATTCCATTGTTGGTCTCGCTTCGAAGAAAATGACGCCTGAGAACTTGAAGCTCGCCAACTCGGTATGTGCGAGTCAAGCCGGCCCCGAGAGAAAGTGCTTCCAGTCGTTCGACATGGTATCGATCCTCGTTATCATCGATCTGATAAAGGCCTAGCCAGACTTTCTTCCAGAGTTTCACAATTCGACCCTCCAGTTGGCTGCGAGTCGAGATTGGCTTTTCAAGAACTGCGCCGTCGAAGGAATATTGAGGAGGATCATCAACTTGACCATTCACTTCAGTCTGGTCACATCCTCGGCTAGCGGAGATGCTGTGAAGAGGAGGTGTGGTGGTAGCAACACACCACAGCTTAGCACTGAACCTGCCATTAATTTTTGGCAAGCAATACCACGAAAAGGCTGGAGACATACTTGCTGCGGGCTTTGACTGCACCCTTTGATGAGGGAGTGGATAAATGGAAAAAGTCCAACACCTTTGGGAGAAATCTGTGAGCGCGATGGGGCTTCATTGCTACCAAAGCTGCACAAGAACACCGCAGAAGAAGCCGGAATGGTTTCTAGGGCGAGAGATACATCTTCCCTGCTCCTAGAGTGGAATCTAGAGATTTATCACTACTGAACCGGAGAGTAATATGCTGTAATCATGGCGTGCTGCTCTATCTAGCTTTTGCATTGATAAATGCAGTCAAGATTTGTCTGATATGCTTGACTAACCTGTCCTAGAATGACGAGATCATGATTGTAGAGTTACTCTCGTCACACCTGTTTGGTAGACTAACACAAATAGGGTTCTCTTGTGCTGTAGTAAAACGAGTTGGTAAATGTTGTCGGTAATCAATTCCGTAGATGTTTATATTCCTAGATAGGTAGGAAGGTAATGCTGACAGCACTGCTCATTATGTTTCCGGGCACGAGGTGCTTCATTCCAAAATAAAAGCTATATAATTTGAAAGATCAGCCTGAGAATCAAAGAATCGAAGCGGTCAACCTTCGTGGGTCGAAAGCAGCTGATACTGACACGCCTAGATATGATTGCCTAGGCATTAGGCCCCATCAACTCTTCTTCTTAATGCAATCTATTTAGAACTACATGAACAATATGGATTTGAGATACTTAGGACAAGAGCAATGGTAACCCCCAAAAAAAGTAATGAATACAAATCGGCGAAGCTTGTTCAGTGGGAAACAACCAGGGCGATTATATTTATTAGATATGAGAAAATACACTAATTAAAACCAGCAGCCAAAGAATAAGGATCAAAAGCGCAGAACTAATGGCATTCAAGATGACTCCATGACATCCATGTCCATATTGTACGATCGATGACTTCATGATCGGAGACAACTCAAACTGCGGGGGATTTAAATGCATCGTACGTCGATACGACCTCCTAGAACTTAGTAGAAAATGTTTGAAATTAATTGTTCACATTTAGTAAGTTTATGGTTGGTAGGCTCAGAAAGAAAGAATCGCACGATATAATAGAACCGGACGCGATGACCTCACTACACATGACACATGTACTCGTTTACAGTCTACAAAATCAAGCAAATAAGAGACGCTCTGGATAATATTGCGGTTCGTTCCTGTTCCGACACCCCGAGTTCCCTTTTCGCAATGATACTTGACGTAATACCTACACCCCTTTCCATTTTCTTGACATTCATGATATCCATGCGGAGTGATTCTGTTTATACTTATCGTCGCTAACCGACGTGTTGCGCTCAGCTACATATATAGTCATCCGATATCACGTTGTCTCATAATCGCATACCTCAAAAGGCCTGGGCTCAGCCTCAAAAAACGACCATGGCAAACGACCATTCTATGGAAAGCGAGTCCGCATCATCTACAAACCCAGAACACATTCCTGAAAATTCCGTTTCTTCCTCTGAGGGTTCATCTTCGCGAGCCAGTTCGTCTCCATCCGAAGCTTACACGCCAACCCGCACTGCCTCATCAGACACCCAGGCAGATTCCACGGCGCCAAAGAAAACTGACGATGGCCTCGCACGTACTAAATCTCGACACAAAGCCTCCGGTCATGATCCTCAGGGAGAGGAATGGGCCCAGATAGAAAGACTGATCTCACGGATGTTCGGCCCTGAGCGCAAAGCAAATTCCGAAGAAGAGAAAACACGTCATGTTGGAGTTCTATGGAAGAACCTCACTGTAAAAGGTGTCGGCCTCGGAGCTGCTCTACAACCCACCAACGGGGATATTTTTCTCGGCTTACCACGGCTCATCAAGCAACTACTCACTCGGGGCAGAAAAGGTGCCGGGGCCAAAAAAGCAGCGATACGAACTATCTTAGATGATTTCAATGTGAGTATATTTCTCACCCCTAGAGATATGCCCGACTGATCTCGTATCAAGGGTTGTGTTCGTCCGGGGGAGATGCTTCTTGTTCTGGGCCGCCCTGGCTCTGGCTGTTCCACTTTCTTGAAAATGCTTGGCAATCAACGAGCGGGCTACGAAAGCATTGAAGGCGATGTGCGGTATGGCGGCACAGACTCTGAAAAAATGGCAAAGGAGTATAGGTCAGAAGGTGTGTCCCTGTCTGTGTGACCATGATTCCGAACTAAAACTATCAGTCTTGTACAACCCTGAGGATGATCTCCATTATGCAACTTTGACTGTGCGAGATACACTGCTTTTTGCCTTGAAAGCTCGAACCCCCGACAAAGCCTCAAGAATACCAGGAGAAAGCCGAAAGGAATACCAGCAGACATTCTTGACCGCCATAGCTAAGTTGTTCTGGATTGAACATGCTCTGGGAACCAAAGTTGGGAACGAACTCATTCGTGGAGTTTCTGGGGGTGAGAAGAAACGAACCTCAATTGCGGAAGCTATGGTTACAAAGGCTAGTACCCAGTGCTGGGACAACTCTACCAAGGGTTTGGACGCCAGTACAGCGCTAGAGTATGTTCAAAGCTTGCGAAGTCTAACAAATACCGCCAACGTTTCAACGATAGTAGCTCTCTACCAGGCATCGGAGAATTTATTTGACCTTTTTGACAAGGTGATCTTAATCGAAGAGGGAAAATGCTCTTTCTTCGGCCCTACCCAGGACGCAAAGGCCTATTTCGAAGGACTGGGCTTTGAATGCCCCCCGCGTTGGACAACTCCCGACTTTTTGACTTCTGTCAATGACCCCTATGCGCGGCGTGTCAAAGATGGCTGGGACGACCGAATTCCTCGGAATGCAGCTGAATTTCAAGCTGCATATCGCAAAAGTGATACTTACCAAAGCAACCTAGCGGATATGAAAAGCTTTGAGGGCGATATCGAAAGCCAAAGGCAGGAGAGAGAGGCTGCAAGAAGTGAGGCCAAACGAAAAAACTTCACCATCTCATTCTACAAACAAGTTATGATTCTCACACATCGTCAATTTCTGGTAATGATTGGTGATAGAGATTCGTTGATTGGAAAGTGGAGTATGATAACCTTTCAAGCTCTCATTATTGGTAGTCTATTTTACAACCTTCCCGATACAAGGTAAGCAATTGCCCCTCTAAATGCGAAGAGACTCCATATGGCTCACCGTTTCAAGTTCTGGCGTTTTTACTAGGGGTGGTGTGATGTTCCTTATACTGCTTTTCAATTCATTGCTTGCTATGGCAGAGCTGACAGCAGCATTTGGGAGCCGACCAATTTTGATGAAACACAAAAGCTTGTGAGGACTATAAAAAAAAAAGACAAAATGATGGGACTAATCTTTTCTAGCTCTTTCTACCGGCCAGCAGCATATGCGCTTGCCCAGGTTGTGGTTGATGTGCCTCTCGTGTTCATACAAGTCGTTCTATTTGATATCATAGTATACTTGTGAGTCTCATTGGATTCTTTACGTGGATCAAACTGATGATGGATTTAGCATGGCAAATCTTGCTCGAACACCCTCACAGTTCTTTATAAATCTGCTTTTCATTTTCATTCTCACAATGACTATGTACTCCTTCTTTCGTGCCCTGGGGGCTCTATGTGCCTCATTGGATGTTGGTGAGTGGAACAAACCTCTCGGAATCAAGAAGTCTTCAATAACACTATATAGCCACCCGCCTCACTGGTGTCGCCATACAGGCATTGGTTGTGTACACAGGTGAGCCCAGCAGAATGGAACCTAATATTCGAGTTTAATGGCCAACAAAATTCAGGCTATCTCATCCCACCGTGGAAAATGCACCCATGGTTAAAGTGGCTCATTTGGATCAACCCTGTCCAATACGCATTCGAGGCATTGATGGCCAACGAGTTCCACAATCTCCAGATCAAATGTGAAACGCCCTACATTGTGCCTGATGGGCCAAATGCTGTGCCTGGTCACCAGTCATGTGCAATACAAGGCAGTGATATAGACCAGTTGATCGTTCATGGTCCCAAGTATATCCAAACGGCGTACACTTACTCCAGGGCTCACCTGTGGCGGAATTTCGGCATCATTACAGGATGGCTTATCTTTTTCGTCTGCTTGACAATGTTGGGAATGGAATTACAGAGACCTAATAAGGGCGGCAGCTCGGTCACGGTGTTCAAAAGAAGTGAAGCCCCCCAAGCAGTTCAAGATGTCATCAAGCAATCCGGCCCCCGAAAAGATGAGGAATCCACAGAGGCGGATGGCGCAGCATCCAACGAAAACAACGGCGACACGAGTGTACCTCATGAAAAAGTCCGGGATATTGCTACAAACACGGCAATCTTTACATGGCAAGACGTTGACTACACCATTCCATACAAGGGTGGACAGAGACAACTTTTGCAAAATGTTAAAGGGTATGTCAAGCCTGGTCGGCTGACTGCATTGATGGGTGCTTCTGGCTCGGGGTAAGCACGTAACAAGGTTGACTTCATTCTTGATGCTAATGTCTGACTAGCAAAACCACCTTGCTCAATGCGCTAGCACAGCGCATCAATTTTGGCGTGGTCACCGGCAACTTCTTAGTTGATGGGAGGTAGGATATCTTTGAGTATTTCATTGAGAATGAATATTAATATTTTCAGGCCTCTCCCAAGGAGCTTTCAGAGAGCCACGGGATTCGCCGAGCAGATGGACATTCACGAACCCACTGCTACTGTGCGGGAGTCTCTTCGGTTCTCCGCTCTGTTGCGGCAGCCGAAAGAAGTCCCATTAAAAGAAAAGTATGATTATTGTGAGACAATCATTGACTTATTAGAAATGCGTTCCATCGCCGGGGCAATTGTTGGATCCATGGGCTCAGGCCTCAACCAAGAGCAGCGCAAACGACTCACAATTGCAGTTGAACTAGCAAGTAAACCAGAGCTTTTGCTATTCCTAGATGAACCCACGTCAGGCCTCGATTCTCTGGCCGCGTTCAACATTGTACGCTTCCTTCGCCGACTCGCAGATGCCGGTCAGGCCATTCTCTGCACAATACATCAACCTTCTGCTGTCTTATTCGAGAACTTCGATGAGCTCTTGCTACTGAAAAGCGGTGGAATTGTTGTTTATAATGGGCCCCTTGGAAACGACTCCAAGACGCTGATTGATTACTTTGAACAAAACGGCGGGAGGAATTGCTCACCACATGAAAATCCGGCAGAGGTGTGTATTATAAAGCTGGATGTATTGGTTCCCACTGATATTCGATCTAGTATATGTTGGAAGTCATTGGAGCCGGAAATCCCGATTATAAGGGACAGGACTGGGGTAATGTATGGGCCAACTCGCCAGAATCCAAACAGCTTTCTGGGGACCTTGAAGGTATAATCGCCTCTCGTCGCAACGCTCAAAATGACCAGAAGGTTGACGACGATCGCGAATACGCGATGCCTCTCTATGTTCAAACAGTCGCAGTCACTAAGCGCGCATTCGTGGCTTACTGGAGGATCCCAGACTACATCCTTGTAAGTCACTAGGTCTCAAAAAACAAGCCCGAATGACTTGCCTAATTGCCAACTAGGGTAAATTCATGCTCCACATCTTTACCGGCCTTTTCAACACCTTCACATTCTGGCATTTGGGAAATAGCTTTATCGACATGCAATCACGACTTTTCTCTGTTTTCATGACCTTGACGATAGCCCCACCGCTGATACAGCAACTCCAACCACGATATATTCATTTTCGAGGCCTTTATGAATCTCGAGAGGCTAACTCAAAGATCTACTCTTGGGCTGCCTTTGTGACGAGCACAATCATCCCAGAACTGCCATACTCGGTTGTTGCCGGGTCCATTTACTTCAACTGCTGGTAAGTATCTATTGAGAAGGCATTTCATCTCTCCCCTCTGACAGAAATATAAAAGGTACTGGGGAACTTGGTTCCCGCGCGACTCGTTTACCTCCGGCTACGTTTGGATGTCGATGATGCTTTTTGAACTATATTATATCGGCCTTGGTCAATTCATAGCTGCAATTGCACCAAATGTGCTATTTGCAAGTTTGCTCGTGCCAACTTTCTTTACCTTTGTTGCTTCCTTCTGCGGCGTTGTCGTCCCTTATGTCGCAATACCGCATTTTTGGCAAGCGTGGATGTACTGGCTTACGCCTTTCCACTATCTGCTTGAGGGATTTGTTGGAGCCATCACCCATAATGTCCCCGTGCGGTGTATTGAGCGCGAAGAATCCCGCTTTAGCACTCCACCTGGCATGAACTGCCAAGAATATGCTGGGTCTTATGCCGAAAAATCCGGTGGATATGTCCGAGACATTGGGAATGGAATGTGCTCATTCTGTCAATACTCAGTCGGTGATAATTTTGTAAGTTTCGCTTCTGAATTTCTTGACCAGCAGACTTGGAGCATAGCTAACTAGAACTTTGTTACATTTTTCAGGCTAGTAGCCTCAATGTTTTTTACTCGCACAAATGGAGAGATTATGTGAGTATCGTGATCTATACCCCTTTGACTAACCTTCAGAGTGCCAGATTAATCTAACATCCATTAGGGGATCATCTGGGGATTCATTATCTTCAACTTTGCTGTTGTTTTCATCTTCTCCTGGTTGTATTTGCACGGTATCAGCGACGTGAAACGCTGGCTCAGTGCGCGTAAGACGAGAAAGAGCAAAGCTCGTCCTTGAACATGGTTACACCGTGTCTTCCATGCTGCGCATGAGTGCATCGTGTGCTAGACTCTCCAGGCTTAGTGTTGTAATTCCCCCTATCCGCGTGTGTCATTGATCCAACATGATGTCCGTGTCTTGATAAGGTAGAGGGAAGTTTCTATGGTCATGACAAATATATAACAATTGCAGTTCTTGATTCTGATTTGTTCGAAGTACAATATGCACCCAGGCAGTCACATTGATTCTGCTTGATCTATTGGTCGAGGTGCCTAGTTACATTGCAGAGACTATCTCAATACTTGCATAGGTAGCATTGAAGTGGTTTCACACGATATATACATGCAATTCATCAGTAGATCAATAAGTCCGACATAGATAAATCTCCATGTGCCTTGGCCCACAAAAATTGCTCGCGCAGCTCCGCGCCCAAAAGCTTGGCATTTCCTGTTCATCTTTCTCACCTCCCTCTCATCCACGTTGAATTTTCCCTACACCAGCTTGCTGCTTCTGGTCGCACTATATCATATGTCATGACATTATAAGCTGAAAAGCTTACTATCTATTTCATTCATCTCATCTTTCTACGTCCCCGACCATGAAGGAAGAAATAGAACCCTCCAGAGAAACCCCCGACGGCTCGACCGCTGGTGACGAGTCGAAGGCCAGTCTTGCTGCAAAGGATCGCAAATGCCAGTACTGCCAACAAGCATTTACCTCTTCATCATTAGGTCGACACCTCGACCAATTCCTTTTTAAGAAGAAACCTGACGGAATCCACGACGTCGAAGAGATCAGACGAATTCGCAGCGGAATCACCCGGCGCCAGGCACGAACATCAACAGGGAAGAACGAGGGCAGCCCTGAACGAAGCCAGAAAAAGGGAACCTCAGAGCCATTTACAGCTGGGGACTCGGGATCGAAGTCGCGCGAAGCTCCGGTGCGCATGATGTTCAACACACCTACCTGGCATGCGACGGGGGTGATCAACGATATCCCCAACCCTAGTCGCGTACCGGATGGGCCTCGAATGACGCCATCGCAGTCTCACACAGGGTCTTTACAGCTTCCGGACTATGCGAGTAGAGGTGCTAGCTCCAGCAACCCGGATACGATGCGGGCGCTGGAGCTCGCACTGCGCGAGGTGCTTGATAATATCAAAGCTGCGACGTATGTCGACTCATTTCCATCATTTTGTATCTAACCCCCAAGCTCACGAAACATTAGCTCTCGTATCCGGCCCCGGCTATCTCCGTTCGACTTCGACATTCAAGCTCAGACTTTTCCCTCCATGTGTCTCCAGCTGCTCCCTCCCCCACCAAGCCTGTTTGCGACGCATCCGTTTCCCTCCTCTACCTCGTTTCCCCTTCAGCCCCCCGGAGCCGAGCACCTCGATATAATCCGCCAAGCCCTTCGTTCCAAGGTTGCACAATGGCAGACCGACCAACTCGCAGCAGACTCCTCCACTTCTGCGCCTTACACAAGACATGGGAATAGCGGGGTGGATCCGAACATGATATACCGGAGTGCACAACAGCACGAGGATATCAGTTTCCGACACTTAGAATTGGCCTTCAATCATTGGAGTTCCCTGTCCCACGAGACCCGGCGCGATGCGTGGCAATTGGAGATCACGCGTGCATTTGCACGGGAGGCAGAGAAGCGCAAGTCCTCGGACGAGCAACTCGCTCGAGTGCAACAGGAAGCAAATCAGTTGCGTGCGCAGGTCGAGCGCCTCGGATCATGCCAGTGGCCTCGTGAGTTCGCACTGTTCCCCCCAGATACGCTCCCCCTACCACGAGAGGTAGCACGGGAATTAGACGCAAAAGAGAGCCACATCAGTCCCGATTCGACACGATGGGACTACGACAGCGTGGTTGCCAAATGGAGACGTGTTGTTATGCACGATAAGGGCATGGGCCGGATTGGGGTTGGTTACGGAAACCCTAGTCAGCTAGGGGATCCAGACCAAAGTCAGTCTCAGAAAAGCCCTGATGTCCGGCCTCCACGCCCAGGCGAGGACACCACCTCTCATCCGAATCGCTTGCGCCCCTTGCAATCTGCCACAGCTTTGAGCCCAGACGTCGCGGGTGCCTCCACCCCTGCTTCATCTACCCACTACGCTTCACCCCACTCTTTTGCAGATCCTCGCAGCCCGTCTAACGGCGCTCTACCTAGCGGCATGCCCCAGGTAGGTGGGCTGCCTGCGGCGAAGCGACAGCGCCTCATGAATGGCTCGGAAGACCCGTCTGGTCCTTCGTCCGAGTCTGGTCATGCTCCGCCTTCTGCAGGTGGTAAAACTTGGGGATCTTCCACGCCTCATTTATCCAATCTTGCTGCACCCTCTGGACAGACGCCTCCGTCATCGTCATCCAGGAACTGACTGGTCGTGGAATATAATATTTGTAGAAAAGCATCGGACAAGGCGCCTGGGGGTTATTCTTTGTACTCTGCATTCGCTTGGAACAGTAGGTGGCTTGCTCTGCTCCCTCTGCTCTATATTAATAGAGAATAACATTTCCCCTCAACATTCATACGAAAGCCCAATGCTTCATCTTGATCGTAATTGATGCCCAGGTTCTCTGTTACTGACATGATAAAGCACTACGCGCTAGATACAGTATGGTCTCCCGAGGTCTCTTCCGCATATCGAGCAACCTCGAGCAATTCCGAACCTTGAAAGTTTGATATGCTTAGTAAGGCACTCTTCTGGCAAAATGAAGCGAGCCGATCTGGTTTCTAGCAGAAAATGTCTATTTGGGTGCAATTGATTCGTCCAAAGGGGTGGGTGCTTGATATCCCGCAGGTAAAAACCTTGTGGAATTGCTCTCCAGCGGGAGACAAAGTGTCTTGTGAATGGTAGCAACGCTTTCGGACATTGGATTGCGATGTTTGACCAGACTCATTGGAACAGCATGACTGTCTCTGTACATGAGTAGGTTAAGATAGAATATTGTCCATGTTTGGACCAAGGAAAGAATCTGACATTACTGACATCTGAATTTTCCACTTTCAAACGTGATCTGCTCTCTCTTCGGAAGCCTGAGTGGTCGTCATTTGTCGAACGTTCAGGTTGATCCGTTTGCTAGACATCCAGCCCTTCCACATCTCGTATGGGGTAGGCGGCATTCCCGGAACAGACTCCCCAAAGGATGGCCAGTCGGCTAGCCATTTTGGACAGGTCGATGGCAGAATCTTCGGGACTCCGTGCCAGGCGAACCGCGATTTACCGTTCATGTACACAGCATCGCCTGAGCGAAGCCGAATAACCTCACACCCATTCCCGTCATCATGGCTAGCCAAGAACAACCCATCGCATCCGAAACTCACGCTGATCAAGCCTACGTCACACTCCTCGCTCACGTCCCGGTGCACGCTCAGTGTATCTCCAGGGGAGTAGAGGTTCAAAATGGCAGCCTGGGCCGATGTTTCTGGGAAGGCCGCACGTAGCACCTTTGCAACGTCCGGCGGAAACTCCGGCGGGGTTCCGGATGGGTATAATTTGGCGGTCCAGTCGTATTGTCCACCTAATGTTACCCAGCGCAGCTTTTTCTCTAAGAAACTTTGAACCGACAAGGGCTTATGAAGCTGAGGATCTTTGGGTTGGAAAGTCCGAGTGGGATCGTCTGCGAAGAAGGACTTGGGCATCTGGGTGTCCTCCGACTTTTCGGGGTACGTGACATTGTAGTGCAGGTGTAGGTTTGTCTGATGCTCGGGGTTGGATAAGTCTCGGTGGAATAGGCGAGAGAGCAGTTCGATCTGGATAGTAGGAGGGAACATGGCGGGAATCATCAGGAGGCCTATCAGGAGGTCAGGCATTGCTCTTTTTCCTGCTGGGTCAGTTCTAAATCGAGGCGATACAATGCTAACCGGAAATCGATTTATGGGCGTATACTGGAATATCCTCAGTCAAAGAAGTATCCTCTTCTGTTTCAGCATGGCTTCCACGAATGAAATCATCAAATGCCAATCGCAAATCGTGGCTGCACATATACTGCGCGATTGTCACTCCGTCGGGCAATTGGTCGGAATCAATCCCTTGTAGGTCGAGGATCCCCGGATCATTGTCAACCTCAGACAAGGCAATTTTAGTATATTTCTTGTAGCAAAGTCTCACTGGATCAGGAGGGCGATCATAAGCACTAAGACCTTTAATTTGGGCCATTGCGAAGATATGAAGTCAAAGAGAAAGTTAAACAACGAAGGAAAAGGTACGCGTTTCACCGCCCTATGATGGGCGCGGGGGTTGTTTGTTTTGTGTCTTTCTCTCCCCACCATTGAAATACTGTGTTTTGTCAATCATCTCGTCAACAAATTACTTTTTTGAACCCCAGGTGGAATTTGAAGAGCGTGCTGCTCCAGCTGTTCTCAGATACCAACATCCTCGGAGTAAGTAGTAGCTACCTCTTCTCCTTGCTTCCCCTACAAATTCTTCTTGGCAACATCCCTCCAATTTGTGTCAAATCCCCATTCTGGTCTTTCTGTTCTCCAATTGTTAATCTCATTAACAGCAGCGAAGGATCGAATGTCGGGCACCATGGATAATTATCAGAAAATTGAGAAGATTGGCGAAGGTATGTACTTCCGACCTGACCTTGTTACCTACAGCCCAACTCACGCGTCAATGGTCTGCAGGCACTTACGGTGTGGTCTACAAGGCCCGTGAACTCAATCACCCCAACCGTATCGTTGCCCTGAAGAAGATTCGACTCGAAGCCGAAGATGAGGGCGTCCCCAGCACTGCAATTCGCGAGATTTCCCTCCTCAAGGAGATGCAGGACCCCAACATCGTCCAGCTGCTGAATATTGTCCATGCCGATGGCCATAAGCTCTACCTTGTCTTTGAATTCCTCGACTGCGACCTTAAGAAATACATGGAGGCTCTGCCTGTCAGTGACGGTGGGCGAGGGAAGCCTTTGCCTGATGGATTCAAGGGGGGTGTAACCCCAGGCCTGGGCGACGCAATGGTCAAGAAATTCATGGCCCAGCTTGTTGAGGGCATTCGATACTGCCATAGCCACCGAATTCTGCACCGTGACTTGAAACCCCAGAACTTGTTGATTAACCGTGAAGGCAATCTGAAGTTGGCCGATTTCGGTCTTGCCAGAGCGTTTGGTGTTCCCCTTCGCACTTACACTCACGAGGTATGCATTGAATTTTCAGTTGCATTAATGGAATTGCTTGTTTACTAACGCAATCGACAGGTTGTCACATTGTGGTACCGTTCTCCGGAGATTCTGCTGGGTGGACGTCAATACTCCACGGGTGTTGATATGTGGTCGGTGGGCGCCATTTTCGCCGAGATGTGTACACGCAAGCCTCTCTTCCCCGGTGACTCTGAAATTGACGAGATCTTCAAGATTTTCCGGTAAGCATTGTTCTGTTATTCTGTGTTCAACCGTATTAACGAATTGCAGCATCCTTGGTACGCCCGGTGAAGACATCTGGCCCGGCGTGACCTCGTTCCCCGATTATAAATCCACATTCCCCAAGTGGAAGCGCCCTGACGTTGAGATTGTTCCCGGGCTGGAAGAGGCCGGATGTCAGCTCTTGGAATCTCTGCTCGAGTTTGACCCTGCACACCGACTATCGGCCAAGCAGGCCTGCTTACACCCGTACTTCCGTAACGGCACCGCATACTACTCTGGACGTGGTCCAAGTAACGGCTTCCATTAGTGTGATGATTACACACATTTTCAGTGTATCTTATTCACTGTGGGAAATGTTCTCGGGGCATGGTTTCTTTCTCCTCTTTCGGCGTTCAATGGGGAGTGATAGGGCGGGCTTACTGCATAGGAAGTGTTTTAGTCTTGAATAACAGGCGTACATACCCTTTCTACCCTGTAATCAGATATGAAAAATGATGTGACGGTACCATTGTATTCAGCTTCTTCAGCCTCGGGTTAGGTCAAGAGTCATCTCGTGTCAGCTAAAAATTGCCCCACGAAACTTTGGAACGAGACATGCTAAGCATCCTTTCCGGGTTTAGTTCCTCTATTCCTCTATTCCTTGATTTCTCACTTCTCTACTCGCTGAAGATCACCAAGTCTGGTCCAGTTCATTATTTTTTCTGTGGCCGTTATAAGAGGGCCTGAGAATCGAGGTGGGGGCCGAAAGCACCATTTGCTGTCAGATTCGCTCGTTCGTCCGCTGATACAATGCACATTCAGCCTATAATGAACGCTTTTACGAAGATCAGGCCTAATAAGCTGATCAATACGAGGGAATGAAGGCTGAGGTGATGTTCTCGGTTCGGAGTGGCCGCGTGAGGGGAAAATCCGGGAATGTCATCCCAGCGCTTAGAACAAGAACAGAATCCGTGTTTCTATTTTCATCTATGATCGTCATTGCGGAGTGATTAGTGCGATATGAGAGAAATAGCCGCCTGAGAATTACCACCTCTGTGCTTCCTCCCCCCCAAAAAACCGAAAACCCCCAACCAAGCGAAGAACAACCCAGAGACAGCAGGACATGGAATTCGACGACGAAATGGGCTATGCCATAGCAGGACCAAGCTCCTCGCGCTCAAACAGTCGACCGCCCCGTACACGCTGTCAACCGCCCCAGGAATCCATCAAGCAATTCTGGGAACAATTCAACACCAAGTACCCGGGCAAAGTATATACGGTGCTGCCGGACAATCCATATGCACGGACACGGGCCAAGCATGTTCCCAGCGGCCGTATTCAGGGCCACGAGGCTGTCAAGTCGTACGAGCAGGCACGCCAGGAATGTCAAAAGTCCGTCGACCGTATTGTCAAGGAATGCGAGCGCATGAATCAGAGATATTCGGACCCACACTTTGATATCGAGCTAGACCTGAAGTCTGGCCGGAGACACTATCTCGATGGATTGGATAAACCAAATATGCAGATGAGACCCCGGGGCGTGAAAAGAGTGACTGTTAGTTCGAAATGATATGCCATGGAGTGTTCAGATTGCAGGTTGCTGAAGACTTTCATATAGGAAATTTTTGAAAATCCGCGGTTCTTTGTTAACGGACCTACCGCGTCAGATGTGCGGCAGGGATATGATGGGGATTGCTGGCTCATGGCTGCGCTTTGCACCATGGGCAACAAGGAGGAGCTCATCAAGAAGATTTGTGTTGCTCGCGATCAAGAGGTTGGAATTTATGGATTTGTTTTCCATCGAGGTAAGCGTATACTCCGAGCCCAATCAGACTGGGAACCATGCTGACTTCAATCATCAGACGGCGAGTGGCAACAGTGCATTATAGATGACAAACTATATCTTTGCGCTGCTGACTATGATGAGTCTGTGGAGGAGCGACCCATCTGGGACGACATAACTCGGATTGATACGGAGGAAGAGTACCGGCGAGTCTGGCAGACAGGCTCGCGGGCCCTGTACTTCGCACAGTGCGTCGACGACAATGAGACGTGGCTACCTCTTCTAGAAAAAGCCTTCGCAAAGGCCCATGGAGACTATTCCGCGATTGAGGGTGGATTTGTTGGTGAGGCTATCGAGGATCTCACCGGAGGCGTTACGTCTGAGGTCTTATCTAGCAATATCCTGAACAAGGACCGCTTTTGGACCGAGGAAATTATGAAAGTCAACACAGAATTCCTGTTTGGTTGTGGGACAGGCCTATTTTCAAACTGGTTAGATCCTAATTACCGGGGTCCACCAAGGGATCGAAAGGGTATCGCGGAGGGTCACTCCTATTCCATCATGGAAGCCCGGGAGATTGACGGCCACCGGTTACTGCGACTGAGGTATGTGCATGAATGTCAAAAGGGAAATGATCAAGAGGCTCATAGCACCTAGGAACCCATGGGGTCGCAAAGAATGGCACGGTGCATGGGGTGATGGATCCAAAGAATGGACACCCGAGTGGATGAAAATCCTTGGCCATAAATTTGGCAATGATGGTGTAGGTGTTCGTCGATCGCACTTTCACTCAATACGCTGACCTGGCCCAGTTCTTCTGGATCTCTTATAAAGATCTCCTCAGGAAATACCAGCACTTCGATCGGACACGCCTCTTCGGAGCTGAATGGACCATTACCCAGCAATGGACTACCTTGAATGTTCCCTGGTCCGCGGATTATCACAGCACTAAATTCATGATGGATGTGACTAAGACTGGACCGGTAGTCATTGTCCTATCCCAGGTTCGTTATGCGCCATTTACCCCAGCTCCTGTGTAGTGGCTGACAGATTCAGCTTGATACGCGCTATTTCAAAGGACTAGCCGGCAAGTACAGCTTCGTGCTCAAGTTCCGCTTGCAGAAGGAAGGCGAACAAGATTATCTCGTGCGCAGCCATAGCAGCCACTTTATGGGCCGATCTGTGAACGCCGAGATTGACCTTGATCCCGGTCACTATCACGTCCTGATGAAGATCACAGCTTTCCGCCACGAAGATGCAGACTCGACCGAGGAAATTGTCCGTCAGGTTGCCTCGACGAGAAGAGAGAAACTAGTGCAAGTCGGCCTTTCATACGACCTCGCGCATGCAAAGGGACTGGTAGGCGAAACACACCAAGAAAAGCGGGAGCAGCAGCGATTCAAAGCAGCTGAGCGGAGAAAGCTTCGAGACGAGATTAAGGAAAAGATGCAGAAGGACTGGATTCGCAATCAAAAGCTAAGCGCCCGACAGGAGCGGATGCGAGCAAGGTGCGGACGCACCCCCAGCGGCAGCTCCTACGATCACAACTTCGAACGCGATTATGTCCCCAGCCAAATTCTGGTAGAGAAACCAATGGAAGATTCTGCCATCGACGTTTCAAGCATCTCAAGTGAAAACAGTGACCGCCGCGTCAACGGTTCTATCCCGAGCATCTACGTCAACGGCGGCCAGGGCCTGCACGCAAGACACGCAAACAATGATTGGCGACGTAGAGCCGACTCTCCGCGGGCCAGTTTAGATGCTCGTTTTGCTACAGGGACTCTTGATCAGGGTGATCTTGAATTACTAGAAGGGTTCGAATTTGACAGCGATCTCGACATGCCTCCTGACGAGACGGGTGTGAAGAACCACCCTCCATCGGTAGGTCATGATGAGCCTTCTGTTGACCCGTGGAATGCCGTCTGTGTGGTCGGACTGCGGGTTTACTCCAAGGATCCGATGTTGAGTCTGCAGGTTGTGCGCCCTGTGCCAGAGGATGATACTGAAGCTCCTCTCGACCGAGACGACCCTGCGGCGTCGGCGACGTCGGCGACTGCCTCTCGGCAAGATTCATATTCCTGGAGGGACTCTTGGATCAGTCATCTATTTATTTAGAGCATAGTGCATACGGTATTTTTGTTTCATTTTAAATTGTCAAGCGATGAAAATTTGGCGTTTTTGCATGATTAGCTTAGTTTTGAATAGAATGCTATAACACTGAGATTGTAATGAATTATATCAAGATGAGACATACGGTCGTCGAAGCAATTTGATAGCACGGAGATGGCCATATTATTCAGGCATCAATTGGTTTCGGATAGCAAGGCCAACAACCCTCCTTGACAAGTTTTATCAAACATCAAGTGCATGCTGTAATAGTGCTATGCGAGGTATTATCTACTCGTCCCGTGGTATAGCCCTTTTACTGCGTCGCAGCAGAGGAGCTATCCGAATTTCCGTCGCGTGTTTCCGAAGCTCGCGATATTCGACCGTTTCATCTGATTGCACCGATGAAACAATTTCCCTTCCTCTTGGAAACAATGGGGCTATTTCTCTAAAGTAAACATGTATATTTTTATAAGCCCTAGTGATATATGCTAACTACATCCCCAGAATTACGCGACCGAGCGCCCACCAGAGGCTGTCTCCAGAAGGCCCAAATGTAATCCTCTACCTTCCCCCTGGACCTTTGTTGCTGGGAAATGCAACGAGCGCACCTCAAAATCATGAAATCAGTGAAGTTGATCACCAAAGGACTGGTGATACCAACTCCTTGGCCTCACCCCAGCATGTCCTAGCATCCACTGCGTCTGCAGTGGTAGTAACCGTCAACTATCGTCTCGGCGAGATACCAACATATATTCCCTCATCTTCAGTTGAAAGCTCTATCTCGCAAGAGCAATCTGAAGCCCCTGACCAAACTCTGGGATCAAGCAACCCCCAAATCACCTCTTACAAATATCCAACCCCAGTCCACGATACACTGGCCGGATTCGACTGGATCCAAACTCACCTCCGCCCAGCGCAACTAGCCATCTTCGGCACACATATCGGAGGCTCTCTAGCTCTTATGCTGGGTCTGACCGAAGCGCGCTCCATCCGAGCCATCGCCGCTGTTGAACCAATTTGCGACTGGCCCGGTCTGGATGAGTACTGCACGCGCGAGAGCACTATCACAAACCCCAAAACACAGGCAGGCGATAATACCACTCCAAAGTCAAGAGTAGCATCCACGCAAAAGCGCCAGCCAAGGAGAAAGACCACAGCACCGCCAGACCTAGTGCCCCTCCTCCAAGCCCGCTCGAAATTCTTCTCAACCCCAGAGCGCTGCTTCGACTCCTTCGCCTCGCCAATCCTCTTCCTCCGCTCTGCGGGCCGGGATGTGCCGCCCACGTTCCCGCAGTATCTTACGGGGCCGGAGTATCCCGTCCCCGTACTGAAGGAGACGCGGGGCACGACATCCGCCGATCAATACGCAGCATTAGACGGGTCGACCTGGGAGTGTCCCGATATGGATTCCGACGATACCGGTGGTATTGGCGCTACTGTTACCCGGCGCCGAAAGGCTCTTTCGCGTTGGCCGCCGTATGGTATGGATTATGGGCTCAGTGGGGATACGTGGTCTGGACCTGGGGATGGCATTGGGCGATTGGAAATGGCTTTGCCTTGGGTCCGGGTGTTCGAGAGAGAGGATGGTGCTGAATTGGCTTCTGGTTCTCTCTCTCCAAAGAAAAAGAAGAAGCCTAGAGATGGTGGTCATGGGTCTACGGTTCTTGCTCGACAGGCTGATGAGATGGTCTCTACTATGCGGCGGGCTTGCTTTTGGGGTCGGGAGAAGGGGGTTGGGGAGCGGAGAGTTACTTTATCTCAGATTCGGAGTACTGATAATAATGCGGGAGAGGAAGTGGGCGACTGGTTCAAGAATGTGTTCCAAGGAACATTGGAGGATATAGATTAAAATCGGTTGCAATGCATATAGCATCGAAGTTACATCTGAAATTGCGCATGCAAAGAATTCATAAAGGCCCCAGTTTTGAAAGATGGAAATAATAATACATTTATGTGAACGCCCTCCATGCCTGGAGTGGTGTATATCATTCGATCATAGGATGTCCGTTCTATCTTCCAGGCAACACAAATTTGACAGACTCGAAGGATTGAGTCTCTGCAATGCTGTAATTATTCATCCAACAATGATTTCATGGTGGCATTGAGGTTCTCGTGTAATTTTCCGATGTCCACCATCCATCAATGTCTGCGATTTCTGAGAGCATGCTAGGGTCCTCGGCGAAGGAAGGAGAAGGAACCTGGCCCATGCCATTCAGTGCGTTGCTAGTTTGAGTCTCGGACAAAAGACGCATGTCTGAGTTGGGGATCCAGTCTAGATCGCCTAGCTGGGAATCAGGAACGGGGACGGGAGCGGGGACGGGAAAGGGGGCTTGTTGTTGATAAGAGCTTTGCTGATGATATTGGTGATGAGGAGGCATGGCTTGCTGTGAGAGGCGGGAGTATTGGTTGGTCGCCACAGGTGCTATTGACTGCATATTGGGAGGGACCTCTGAAACAGATAAACGGGATTTTTTCCGTGAGCCATCTATTCCTTGGGCATTGGCAGCCCTATTGTGCAGTGTAGACGGCTTCTGCGAGCCTAGCGACGCCAGATTAGCACTGCTGTTTTGACGTTTCGCCGCAGAGCCGGATCGGCGCATGTTTGCTTGCCAACGTCGCTGGAGTGTAACAAGGTAGTCGCGGGTGCGCTTGGCATTGTCGAATGATTGGCCCAGTTCATCGAGAGCCCGGAAGCACAAATTGAGATATGCTACCATTTCCGGACTGCGGGGGTATGTCGGGCTGTCACTTTGTTTGCCTGGACTCATTGGAGAACTGGATACTGTTACGAAGAGAAGCATGAGCGCTGCGCTGAATATTATCGCTACAACTTGGTTGTTCATGCGGCGGAAGGTGTAGTGTTTCTCGAAGAGTTGGAGGAGTCGTGCGATGGCGGTGGCTGACTCCACGCACATGCGCCGCGCATGGTGATACCCGGGGCCTTGACGAGGGCTGCGGGGCTGGATATAGCTTTTGGAAAGCCATGGGCGGTGGAAGAAAATGATGATCTGGTGGTATTGCATGCTGCAAGAGACTGTTAGTATGATTCTGGGGATCTATTATATTGAAACAAACTGACTGGAGCATCATCAAATGAGGCAATATTGGCGATGTATCATCGTCCAGATCAATCTGAAGGCTAGAAGGAAGATTTGCTTTCCAGGCAAACAAATCTTCCGTCACTTGATAGCAGATTCTTTGCAGGTCGTGCCGAGAGATGTCGGAACATCCATACCTAAAGGCTTGTTAGCACTGTGCTGGATAATATGCATAAGTCACATACAAAATATGACCAACTGGGGATATCATCTCCCATAGAACGACAAATTGCCTGCATATTAGCTCCATTGGGTTCCTCAGACCGTTCTGAGATAGCCCATGAGCAGCTTGATGGCCGTATGGATGCCAGTTTTGTTCCTTTTCAGGATAAAGAGCAGATCCAGGTTTTGAAACACCTATGTCTCCGGCGTTCATGCGGAACGGGCGGCCTAAGTAGAAGCCCCAGAAACTAGTTACTGTTAGAGATATTGACGGTATGAAAACCACGAAAACTTACTGGTCTGCCACATAGCTTCCCCAAAAGGTTGCACGGCGCACATCGGCCTCCTGCTGGGTGATTTCGCCCTTGTTCACGTATGTCGTCATATCTAGGTGTAAACCAAGATCGAAAGCAAGTCGCATAGACATCCCTGCAAAGCAATTAGCCAATGAGCGTTACTTGCCTCCTATCTTCAAGATATATATGCCTACCGCTATACAGCCAACCTCGAGCATCACGATTTGATGCGCCTTCGTGGCAGCTCATGATGACAAGGGCCTGGACAGTAGCAACACAAGGAGAGTCGAGTTCAATTTCCAGAAGGGCCTTAGCCCGGTCTGCGAAGAATTCAGAGAGAGACTTGGGGAAAGTAATGAATGTGGGGTGATAGCGTGCCTCGAAGGCACTCCCGATCGCGCACCTGCAACAAGTCAGCAAATTCCTTCAGCACCGAAAAATGAAGTGAACTTACATTGCATTAGTTAGAACCTCCGAGTAGAACGGAGTATCATCGAGCTCATTGCGCCATTTCGTTCGTGCCGTCATGAACATCTCTTTGTCGACAATGTATGTACTAGGGTTTTGCCAGGTGAAATATAGCTCCACCAGATGATCTTCCAGGGCTTGGTCCACAGGTTGACCAACCCGGAGATGATTTAAAATATCCTGACCATCGTGGCGCACAGTCCGTGCGTCAGGCCGCTGCCGCTGCTGTGTCGCAGATACATCCACCAGATTGAGGTTGGACGTGGCACCGTAGAAACGCAGATGGCCATCACCCGCAATTTTCAAAGTGCCAATTCGGTGCGACAATTGCTCAATAACGTCATTTTCAGCTTCGTCCTCTTCGCCGCTATCCGAATCATTTTCTCCGCCGTGGGGTAGCTGGCTTAGCAGAACACCCGGCTGCTGGGCCATATCCATGCCAAGCTGGTAGCTATCCGGACTCATTTCTGCGTTGAGGGGGATTCTAGGCATTGCAGAGGCTCTCGGCCCGCCGTTGAGATTGGCGTAAATAGTGTCCAAACTTTCGGCTGTTGGCAAAGTAAAGCCCCAATGGACAAAGTTTTGATTGTCCGAAGCACCCGGTACCAATCCAAAGGGATTCCAGCCCTCGGGCGACGGTGCCTTTCCATTAGACATAGTATCTTGCGCCGGGGATACGCCGGAAGCAACCAAATTGGTGATCGGGGTTTGTCCCTTGGGATTTACGACAGGTGGATCTTGGGACGGAGATTTGCTTGAGCCCCCAGAGGCCGTTGGATCATCTGCCGGTCGCTTTTCATCGGCCACTACTGAGGCTTGAGGGAATCCGCGCGGGATCTGGAGGGTGTCTAAAACCCTGTTCATGCCAGCCTCATCCTCTGGATTCATTGGCGGGGGCACCAGCCCCTGCTCCTGGATAAAATGACAAAGTTGGTCAATGCGGGCGGAGAACAGCTCCGTTGAGGCCCGAAGAGATACTCTAGTTCATATTAGCAAAAGAACATGAAGTGGTGTATGCCTATGAGGTCTGCCTCGTCGCTTAGGCACTTCCGCACATTGAACAAGGTACTTACTTGCGCTTGTCGTCTCCATGTTGGTATTTGCATTCTTTTCCCTTTCGCTGACAATTCTGACAGTTAGGAGTGGCTCCATCACACTGGTAGCAGGCACATTAGATGATTGAAGCCATTTAGGATTTTTTGACTCAAGCTCAGAGCACATACCCTGATTTTACTCTCCCGGCATGGCACACAGGCAGTGGTGACATGTTTACGGGGTGCCTTTTTCGTTTTCTCTGGCTCAGCCGACATGGTTTATAATTTCGAGGCCACGTCCTCGAGGATTTCTTCCAAGAGTTCTGAAGCTCGAGGTTGTGGCTTGCTCCAATGGTGTGTGGCGATGTATCCCCGCAAATAAGACGAAATGGGTGAAATCACATGAATTCATCCCGCGTCAAAACTCGAAATTCTCGAAATTCTCATTGTCAAGCCATTAGCTGGGCCAGGTCACCGTGACATATTTCCTCTGCGCTTTTACGGGGGCGCTCAGAGTCAGGCTCACTGGGTAAATTTCAGAGTCCGTCAGCTGCTCAAATACCCCACGTGATGAAGCGGAGGTCCAATGAGGGCTCACTATGGCACTGATTACTCAGACTGATATACCCAAAGCAGCACCTTACCCCACAATATCGTTTAGCGGATGGTTACAATGACCCCCCTCCACTGCTAATTCGACCCTACATGCTTTAATCCCTTGATAATTACAGAGCAGTTGTTGAAGCGGTTTTTGAAGCAGTTGTTAACGATGAAGTAGTTGATATGATAAAAGTTGATGACTATAAACTGAATTCAAATACTCCGTACTCGGTACCTACTACGTAGTAGTGGCAGAATCAATGGACGCACCATATTAGGAAGGCGGTATTCAAAAGTCAGGCAAGTACGTATATCAAAAGAGGATAGGGTTATCCCATTAGCCAAGGCCCAAGGGGGGGTTACATATGACTATACATAATTCATGGCGTTCTGGTTGAAATATGTGCAATTAAATCCATGTGAGTTTGGTCGGGTGGCTTGCTTCCAAGGTTCTGAACCAATCATGCTATTAAGCCGTCATTTCTTGCCCCCCGAGATCAAAATGTTCTGAAGGCAGGGCAGGGTCCGGTAGAGGATAAGCAGGACTGGAAATTGATATACATGCATTGGCTTGTATTTCTATATTCTACCAGTTTGAAGTGCGCTTTATTCCCTCATTCTGCACCACCTCAATCCAATATCCATCGGGATCTAGAATAAATGCGATGTTGTGCATCCGCCCGTCAGTCAGGCGCTTCTTGAAGTTCACCTTCAGAGACTCAAAGCGGGCGCACGCAGCCGGGAGGTCGTCAACGGAGATACCTATGTCAAGTTAGGAACTCTTGTAGAAACAATTAGAAATTGTATGATAATCCACTTACAGATATGACCGAAACCCTGGGGCTCAGTGTTGCCGTTGTGGTAGACAGGGCCTTCCTGCTTCTCGGTGCCGTAGTTCCAGGTCAACTCGAGCAGACCTTCCCACTCCGCCACTCCATTTTTGCTACCCTCCTTAATATCGGGATTGGATGCGGGGTACCCCAGGAAATACAGATTGAATTTGTTCTCTGGGTTCTCAATGGTGCGGACTAAAGTCATGCCCATGGATTCCTGGTAGAACTTCAAGCTGGCTTCGGCATCCTTCACGCGCAACATGGTGTGGTTCAGTCGATAGCTACCAGGGTCGGTGGTGGTGCTGAGATCCTCATCGGCGCGACGGATGATCTCAACCCAGTATCCATCGGGATCCTTAGCGAAGGCGATGTGTCGCATACGGCCTTCGGTCAATTTTTTCTGGAAGGGGTAGCCGGCATCTTCAATGCGCTTGCAGGCGGCTTCAATGTTGTCAACCGAGATGGCAATGTGGCCGAAGCCACGGTGCGGCTCTGTGTTTCCGTTCACCACGCTGTAGTTGGGGTCGTTCTCGGTGCCATAGTTGTGAGTCAATTCCAGAACGGCATTACGATCAGTCCAGTGACGGTCACCCTGGAGAGAGGCGGGGCCGTTATACGCCAGGAAGTAGTTGCAGAACTTCCATTCAGGCATGTCAATCTTGTTGACCAAGGTCAAGCCAAGGAACTTGTAAAAATCCACCGATCGCTGCGGATCTTTGACCCGCATCATCGTGTCTATAATGTGCCCATTGTGTTAGTGATTGTGTCGAAAAATGTTGAAGTACTGTCCACGAACGGTTGAGCTTATAGGTGGAAGGATCGGAAGCCATGGTTGCTAGGGATCCTGGTAACTGGTCAATAATTGGGCCGTGAGCTGGATCTGAATAGAGCCTACTGATTGGTACAAAGGATCTTTGTCTGAGGACCCCAGGAGAAAGACGAGCGAACATTGGGGGAGGAGACAGAGGGGCAAAGGAGCTTTTTGTCAGCCGTGAGGAGAGTGTGGGGCACATGACGTTGTGCCACATAGCTCTTATACCTAGGTAGCTCTTATAAGTTATAGAATTAGGAGCATATTGTCTATATGACTGAGACCAATTAGATTCTGTGAGTTAGTCTATCACTTTTAATACTTCTAGGCGTCCAGCATGTGGTCAATCTGAAACCTGTACGGAGTACAAGTACATATATAATCAACAATTTAGGTACGGCTAATAATGAACTGCAATATAGGAATGTAATAATATACAATTCCGAGTTGAACAATCAAATGACACATAAGATAGCTACACTATTAGGTCGACATATGTATGCAGCCGTATATATACCTCGGTGTTAAAACGTCCGGGAACTCCACATCAACGGGGAAGTTGATCTCCAATTCCTTCCTCCCAACTCAACCTCCGAACTCCCAACATCGAACCCCTCGAACCCCTCGAATTCCCCGATTACCACATTTCGCAGACCAGGTTCGTGAACATCCTCTTGCATGATCCTCAGACCTTTCTCCCCCCGCTCCCGGTTGATCCCTTTCCTACCATTGGCCTCCATTCCCGGCTTCGTGTCGCATCCCGTCTCTTTTCTTTAATTTCCGACTTTCTTTTACTGCCGCGCTTAGCTCTTGGTTTCATGTATCCCCCCTTTACCTCTCCCAATCAAGTCTCTGCTCATGTGCACGCTTCCTTCATACTTGCCCGATCATGGTGCTCCCATTGCGGAGCCGCCTCACACACACCTCATGACACCTGCTGGTCATACCAGGCCTCATAAAGCTCTGTTGCTCTGATTTTTCTTGTGTACCATCAGACGCGATTGGAATCATCGTGACTTTGTATTTGGACCAATGCGCGTCGAGTCGACGGATCCGAATCTCTGCGTATTCCCTTACTCCCTCTCATCTACTTGCCAAGCCCATGGCATGAGAGCTTACCTGCTTCCCTCGTGCCCTCTGTTTATTCGTTTTACCTTTCTGCGGGAATTAAACATATCCCACATTGTCGTCTCTGCGTGTCCAGTCCGCATCCATGGGTGTGAAGATGGCTGAATGCGAACCTTCTCCAGTTCCCTTCTCTGATTCAATATCCGATTGCTCCTCGACAACTTTTTCCCTACCTATCTCCCAATCTCCCTTCGAACCGAACTTTCTGCCTTACTGGGCCCGTCACAAGACAAAGTTTGCTCAGAACCTATTGGACTACTCCGACGAGCCAATCGAATACGACCATCACGACGAGGCCTATAGCGACAACTGCTTCTTCTTCCCGGAAGACTGCTCGTGGACACCACCGAAAGATTGCATTGCGGAAGCAAATCGCGTATCACTGCAGGAGGAACCCTCGAACCAGGTGGAGGAATACACGCCTTCGGTAGGCCAGGACAACACCGACACCATGATTCCCGGTCTCCCCGATATTAAGATGCTGGACGCGGAGGCACTAAGCGACCTCTTGGAAGACAACCTGTCCCCGCCAGAGATCACAACGATCATGTATGCCAGCTGTGCTTCCACCACAAGATACACCTAATGACTGTATCTATTTATAGTGTCTTCGCAACAAACGGCGCCGTCTTCGCCCACGGCTCCTCCCTCTCCTCGCGCCAACTGCGCAACCTTAGCGCAACCTACGGCGCCGCCTACACATGCTACGCCAAGTCAGCCTCAAGCGGGAACTTGACGGGCGTCAACCCAGCCAGCCATCCTTCATCCTACGTGACCGCCAAGTCGATGTCTCTAGGCGATGTAGGCTCGATCGTCTTCGAACTTGACGACTCCGTGGCCGTGGTAACCCAGATCGCGGATAAAGTCCTCGTGGCCGCCGTCGGCCCATCCAAACTAGACGCACTGGAGCCGAACGGCGGCACCAACGCCGACTCCCTTGCAGTTGACACCGTACCTGATGTAGGTAATGGAACTCCCACGCTTGAGGACTCACAGGGTGATATATCGCGCGCACTGGCTGCCGCACCTGCGTCTCTGGACGCGCCTCACAACGGTCACGGAGACCCCCAGTTGGAGATTGACCGCAGCGCTGATCTTGCGCGTCTGGCCAGCCTGAACCTCTCTGCCTCGCCGGCCGTCTTGCTTGCGCTGGAGTCTAAATGCGCCGCGCTAGGACGTTTCCTCGGGGAGAAGCTGAATGACTTGGAAAGTCCTGAGGATTTCTGATACTAGGCAATGAACATGTATGCCGCGAAGCTTGCTGGGATTATCTAGCTAGCCCATGCCCATGTGTATTTCCAGCATAGGCTATGATATGATTTGACGATACAACTCTGCCTGCTTTGTGTATTTGATAGTTAAAGGATCTTCGATCCAGTTAGCGCTGATATCTGATTCTTGCAATTTTAACGTGGAAAGAAATTCATTAGAGGTATATATCCAGTCGACAAGGTATGTTTCGCTCTCCGGATGGATGAATGGGCGCTACACCCTAATCAACTGACGAGATGCACATGCGTTATTTGAGTATATATGGGGGGGTAAAGTCCACAGAACCAAAAAAGCTTAAATATATATGCCTAAACGAGACAGAGGTTATATCACGACTTCTCCACAGCGGAGCCACCGGGCGAGGTGTAGAAGTGGCTAGACGAACTAGCCGTGCGGCTAAGTCCCGGAGTCGGGCTAGCAGCAGCAGGGGCAGCAGCAGCAGGGGCAGCAGCAACAGGGGCAGCAGCAGGAGGGGCAGCAGCAGCCTGTGCAGCCTCGGTCTTCTCCATCTCCTTCTCGGCGTAAGTGGGCGGCAGGCCCTGGCCGGACACGCTGCGGGCGGGGCTAGCAATGCCAGCAGGCGAGGTAGGGGCGGCCGACGTCGCCGTGGGAGAAGCGAGCGTGGGTGCCACAGCAGGGGCAGCGGCGACCGGGCCGCGGGTAGCCTCCTTGATAACGGTCCACCACTTCTCCGCGTCGTTGGGGGTGTGGGCCTTGAAGCTAAGCTCGGTGTTCGTGTGGAAGGCGTTTCCGATTTTGCCGCTGGAAACGTCCTTGCCCTTCACGTTGAACTTGATGCCGTCAATGGAGCCGATGACGCATTCCGGCAGGTACAGCGAAAGCTCCGGGGAAGGGTCGCGGCGGAAATCGTCGTTGTCCTTGAACTCGTGCAGATAGCCCGCCGGGGTGACGACGTAGTAGCCTGTGCTGTAGCCCTTGATGAGGGCGCGCGAGCGACGCTCGAGAGAGCCTTCGATGAGCGGCTGTGTGGAGCGGTGCTCCATGTTCGGGAAGGTGATGCTGGAGAAGGAGCGCGGGGGCGAGTCTGGGTTGACCAGGATTGCGTCGTTGCGCACGCAGAAGTTCATCCATTCAAAGTCCGGTGGGATGCGCTGCGCGGAGCCGAGGATGTCGGCGTACATGGCGCGCTGGCGCTCGAGTTGCCCGTTCATGTGCAGGTGGAATTGCTCCATGGTGCCTTGCACGGTCTGCAGGACGTGTGCTTCGAACTGCTGGAAGGAGTTCTGCACGGCGAGGATATCCTGGCGGTGGTTGTTCTCCTCGTTTACTTGGTTGTTCAGACGGTGGTTGATGCCGCGCTTGAGGAGGTACGGGTCATTGTGCGGCTCGATCTTGCTGCCGGCGGCGGCGTCGAAGCAGGCGGCGTTCTGACCTAGAAGCTCGATGTGCTTCTGCGTCAGGTTACGCGCCTTTTCGACGGCCTTAGCTCCCTTGCTAGCACCAGAGCTCAGCTCCTTGGACTTGTTCTTGATCTCTTTGTGGAGACGCTCGAGGGTGGGGAGAACGCCGGTCTTTAGGTTCTTTTCGCCTTCTAGGTACATGGTAACCATGCCCTGGGTGTTGCAGCGAATACTCTCAAACATACCAGCCACGCCGCCTCCGCTGGTACTGAAGTGGTGGGCCTCCTTGAGGGGTTCGTTCACGGTCTATTCCCATTCTTCGTCAGTGCCGGGTATCACCCATAGGAATTAACCACTGACCTTCAAGATCTTCTCGTAGTCCTTGGACTGGGACTTCTGCACTTTGGCGGTAGCAGAGAAGTAATCCTCGAGATATCCGCACATATGCTTCCATGCTCGGAGACGCTCAAGCAGGAGATTAGTAGTCTGGAAACAAATACATCGTCAGTCCAATATACTTCTTTTCTTCGAGGACACCATGGATACAAACCTCATTGCTATCACCGTCGGGAATAGCCTCATCGTCACTCAGAGAAGTACGACGAGTGAAGGAGCTGCTCACGGTGTTAGACCGCTGAGGCAGTTTCACATCCGCGGGGCTCGTTGGAGTGGACATGGTCGCGGAGAAACGGCGGGGTAAGGCCTAATTCAAGACGTCGACAATGATCAACCGAAGTCGAAGTTATCTTATCCGCGTCAAAACCAGAGCTGACGACTGATAATGTGGCTTAAACAACGAATTATAGGGATGTTCGCATCGGTGGCTGGTGTGAGACCACGGCCGATGGGTGGGGGAGCGCTAGTCTATGGCTGGACTAGTCAGTAGAGATCGATCATTGCGGACGAGCAGACTTACGCGACGGAATTGATGGGCCAACAGTTTCCACTATGTTGGATATTATCTTTCTGTTGTAGGTAAAAATGAAGGCGAGAGTGCAGTCTTAACCGATCGACAAATGTCAATGAGGTCACTGTGCCCTTGTAACCTGTTAGACCTCGGGACCTTACTCTGGGTACTCGATGCTGTGGCTTTCATATCCACCCAAATATTCAAGTTTTCCAACCTTATCGTGTCAAGTCGAACGTAAATGTAGCAATACCTTGGCTCTACACTACAATGTATACATATGAACTCGAGGCGCCAAGTTGTGCTTACTATCCAAAACAGGGTACTGGCCAGACCTACTCACTAGAGCCTAGGAAGAACATGAAATTTGTCGATAATCGAAAGTGGCAAAAGCCATGTACCAATAGCCCCTCCAATGTCTATCTCAAGTGAACAATACCTTTGACCTTCGACCGAAGAAGCAGAGTCATGCCACCTGGGCCGGGCTGGGCCCGCAGGTTCATTGATGACCTAAGATCGTTGGCTAATTTCCTAATCGGGATATGATATCATCAGTAAAGATGGAAAATCTGTTGAGCATCGAAGACTTTGATCTCGTCGACCAAAGTAATTAAGTACATGCGTCAAAGGCTCATATGCATGGCTCGTGCTGATAGGCATATTTAAATGTCATGCAGCTCGTTCATATCGGATCTCATTCGTAAGGTAAAAAAAAAAGTGAAAGAAAGATCAAAACACCCGTGACCGTCTATGAAAGTATTCCTGCCCGTCTATGATCGAACGCCAGAGGAAAGGAGATGTTGGGAGAAAAGGCAATGAGAAGTAAGAAGAGATGGGAAGTTGCCGCTGATGGACGGTAGAAACATTCAGAACAATGCTGGATGAGAAGTGCCCGATTGACTGGGACTGAGGCTTGAAAAGGGGAGCTAATGCTGGGGACCATGATCGCTTGTAGAAAAAGAACATGATGGGGGGAGAAGATGAAGAGAGAAAATGGCTAAGGGTTAAGGGATAGAGCGCTTCGCGTGGGTCTCAGTGTCCAGCACCGATGCAGAAGGAGAACTTTTGATGGAAAGTGAAGGCGGGAGATCATGGGTGGATCGAAGGATTCCGTGGCCACATCTCATGCTCTGGCGCGAGCTTGCGCAATTCTAAGTCTGCGTTCCTCATCGTCAGCATTGGTGCCGCGAGAATTGAAGTAACCGGAGCGATTCTGCACCTCTAGGGGAGTTCCCGGTCCGGTTGCACGGCCGCTGCGGATATGAGCCTGTTGGGGAGACTGTGGGACTGGTAGCGTGGGGAGGCTACTAGCAATCACGGCATTGTAATCGGGGAGACCAGAGTCACGGGGACGCACGGCGCAGCGCACTGCAGTCGAATAGCTGGGAACCCGACTGAGAGTCTCTACCTCGTCGTACTGGGGGTGGAAGGGAGTTGCCATGCCCGAGGGAAGGGCTTCGGGCTCCACTTCGTCGGATGGCCGACGAGAGAGTTCTGGACTGCCATGGTTCGATCCGGAAGCCGTTCCGAAGTAGTCATTAGAGACACCCAATTGGCGATTAATTGGGATTCCGTCTGTTGGGGATTGAGATCCATGCAGGCCCTCGCCAGGAGTGACTGCACCGGGAGTGATAGGATGGTGGAGCGGACTTGCGTTCAGGTTTGTGAGACGATGGTGCAGTGCCGAAGCTGAGATATCGGTGTTGGTCAGGGCGTTCATGGAGGCGAGGTTCTCTGTGGATATGTTGCGACTGAGAGGAGTGAAAGGCGTGCCCGGACTACTGGCAGGGCCTGGTGTGCGATAGCCGCTGGGATCCAGCTCGCTATACAGCTGATCAAATGTGTGCTCACCGTAAAGGGGAGGCGCCTGGTGCGCAAACTCATCGACGGCGATCCGGGTAGATCGAGGGGTTTGCCCAAGAAGGTTGTTGTTGTCGTCGATGGCAAGGTGTGGCGAGATGAAAATCGAAACTGGAAGCGTAGCCCGGAGCTGCATTGAGATGTTAGCCTGTCAGAAGAATGGCCAGGGATTCTACTATTACTCGCCTCGCTGATGTGGCCGTCGGGGTTGTGCAGCTGAATCCGGAACTTCAGCTTGTGGCGGACTTTAATCCCCTTGGTGTCTGTATCCTGCAGACAGCGGGTCAATGTCTGCGGCATGTCTAGGATACGCTTGCATTGGTATCCTTCCGCCGCTTCATCGATGATCTCAATGTTATTCTCATCCAGCTCATGCTCGTCGCTCAAGATTGTCCTTGTGGTCTTGTATGTGTTGCGAATGGAATCGGGGTCTTCCGGATTGAGGGTGAGGTCGTGGCTTTCGATCAGCTGTGACGTAATTTGGCCGATCCGAAGACCCTTGAGAAGGGGAATCAATTTGAAATCGACGTGGATAGCGGTTCCGAACACGATGGCTTTCGTCGGGGTACTGATGGAGTATTCAATCTTGTTGGGCCAGATGTTGTCCACGGACTGGGAGGGTTGTCAGTAAGAATCTACCAGTCAGGCCGATATGACCACTTACCATTGCATGTGATAGCTCCAGAGCACTAGGATCCAGGGTTCGTATGATCCTGAGCGGTTTGCGCGCAACAATGTCCTTGACGTACTTGCGGCCGATCTCGGCCTTGAAGCGGTACATCACCCATGTCTCGGCAAGGCCTTCCACACTCTCGGGCATGGATCCCTCAAGTACCACATCAAAGGGGTACTCATAGTTGCCAGCAGGGAGGACCTCGGTTTTTCCTTTGGGTAGGTCCCGGAATTTCCACGTTTTCTCATAGAACACACGTTCACGCCATGACTTTCGGCCACCGGCGGCTGCGCTGGAGGGGAGGTGCCAGCTGCGCAAATGGCTTGTTAGTGGTGTTGATTCAGAATTAGGAATGCGACACATACCAAACTCGCGACATGCCCGTCAGCTGTAGCCGGAGGTGTTTAATGGTGAGCGGCTCGGACAAACACAGGACCAGAGTGCCCCGCAGATGCGCACTGGCGGCTTCATGTTCGCCGCCACGGAACACGATATACTCATCATTCAACCTGTAGAAGTCAGATATGTCGCTCGCCTGGGCTATCCGGTCCCCCACTCACCTGATGTCGAAGTACTTGGCGCTGCTGGCGCTCCCGCCACTACTAAAGAAGCTGAGAGCCATTTGGAAATTGCCCGCAGCAATGGGCGGAGATGTCGACGAAGTTAGGGAATAGAAATATGAAGGAGAAGAGGCAAGAGTAAAGAGATCAAGGCTAGTAAGTGTACTCCGTCCGTACTGCGTTACTGCGTACTGGCGTATGGCACCGGTATTTTTTCCGTTTTTTCTCTATCACTGATCTACCGGAACATGGCCAGATACGCAAGACTGGTCCGACTCACGGGTCCCCAGTGGAGTTGTGCCGTTTCCGGCGACCTATTCTTTTCTTCTTTTCTTTTTTTCCTTTTTATTCTTTTTGGGGCCTTTAGCAGTGCCGAGATGCGAAATGACTAATCTTAAATGGAAATAGGCTCACGGATGCGCGATGTAAGGCTGGCTTGGCATATAATGAAGAGAAATATAAGAATTGGAGCAAAAGTGGGATTTAGAGGATTTTAAAGGATTTGTGAGATTTGTGAAGAACCTTAGAACCATCTTAACCGGTTAAGCACATCAAAACCCATCAGTGTCTAGTTTTTTTACGTCAGCGCTATCATACCAGACCCTACATAGTTACTCCCTACAAGGTACAAAGTACGTACGCGTGGTTACTATTTGATGCCTATTTAGTCTCTTTACTTTCAAATGCAAGGGATTCTGTATCCAGAACAAAATCCAAATAATATGACATGGACGAAGGACATCCGAAACCATTCAACAACTCACCCCGGTCTAACTATAGCGTCTAGGGTTTACCCATACGCTTATCCATCATGCCATGTGATGTTGTACGGCATACTCCGTACATACCTCGGGATCGCCCTTCCCGCATGGTTTCAAGATCCCTGAAGATGCACACGTCAACGTACCTATGTATGCCCATGGAGTCACACAACAGCGTTATTTCATACTTCAGAACCTGATCGTCAACTAAAAAATCCACTTTGGTGATGGTAAATAGGAGATCTACAAAGTATACTAGTTAGCAAGGCTGCATTTAACCAGTCACGGTACACATAATCCTTGTCTACTAGGGTCTCGATCGCGCCACTCGTTAAAAAATATGCCTTGGGCTTGGACCCTTGGTCTTTCTCAATTCATTGAACTGCCGCCACTCCGATATTGCTCAGATAAGTTATACACTGACAAATACAGTTTCAAATGCGATCGTCTCTTCCTGTAAGCTGTAGTTACCGTGCCTGAAAATCCCCAATGCACATTGATGCATGAAACCACCTTTGACTTTGACCTGCTAAGCTTGACCTATCTTAATCTCACCGGCAATAATCGGAAATATCTGTGATCCAACCGCCTACTGTAACCCAACACTTACATCACTATATTGTAGAGTCCCTGATGAGCATTGCGGTAAGAGCGGGAACCGCCTATACTAACCAGACCCCGCCTAGCTGTCAAGGCCCGTGGCGTCGTGATAGGTTCAAAGCGGGTCAGATATATTGTGAGGGATTTCACCTAACCTTGGAAGGGTAAAACCAAACATAGATAAGGTCTCGGACAAACAACACACAAACTGTTGATTATGGTGCCTTATGTGACCCACTTCTGCGGTCGTGTTTCATGTAACATGTATATACTCCATACGTACATACACATACAAAGTGCAGTGCATGAAAGCCAGCACTCGGCCTGCTCCCGATCGTACAAGCCGACTGCAGGCCTAGCCCTGGGATCGGGATGCCTTCCACATATGGAACTCGGGAATTTCCGCTTCACCGGATCGGAATCCCGATTGCGTGCCGATTTAAGCTCCCCGAGTATATGCGTTGTTATTCGCCGTGTTTATACTGGGCTTCTCGGTGTGAGGATTTAGGCTGAAACTTTGTTTTTGACTTTTATTTTTATCTTTTTTTTTTCCTTTTGATACCAACTGGACAAGACCCGTTCCTATGGCGTGCGACCCGCTCTAATCTAATCTTTTGATCCAGCCCTGAAAGCCTAGATTCATTTTGGCTAAAGACACCATCACGAGGTCTCGGCTAGGACGGTCGAAGTCTATAAAGCACTCAACATGACTAGGGTCAGAGCTATACTCTACCAACTTTCAAAGATTTTCTTACGGCCCCACCAAGCAGATCATCGACGGTGAGTTTTTACAGACTCTCCACTGTGAAATTATCTTCGGTGAGTTCCAGAACGTCCACTTGGATTGCATCATGCCGAAGAAAAGTCAATAATGTGGGACTCGTTGTTTACGCGTATGTTGTAAATGCAGATAACCTTGGAAGTACATACCCAGGTACGGAGTAGACATCGGTGTAATTATTGAAGGCATGTCGTCATCGTGAGTGATTCACTGTCGGAATCTTAAACTAGGCATGTTACACCGCTCAACGCACTGTACAACATATACGGCTAGCATTGCATGTAAAAGCTTGAACCCTAAATGTATTCCGATGATTTGCATCAGGCCATTTTCCATGTTCAACGTCCAAGAGCAAGTTGAGCCAATTACAGAACATCAGTAAACGCCTCATTCGACCCTGGGGGCCTAGCTTATCACTTCGGTTAATGTTTTGCAAGATTGGCTAGATAAGAAGCACGTCAAGGGGTCTTTGCGTCTTGGTGTACCAATAGTATTTGCTAAAGCCAGACATCGTAAGAGATCTGACCCACCAAATAAAACCGAAAGAAACAACACAAAACACAAGAAAACACGGCTATGAAACCTGATAAACAGGGCATACTAAAAGTACTTATTACATGCATCCACGCGCAGCAGAACAAGTGCTATATATCTTTTTTGCGTAGTTCTCATGCCGAATACAAAGTAGAGTATGACCATCTATCTTCCAGTGATCGCCAGGGGAGGTTGCAATGTCTAGAGCGGGAACTAAAAGAGATCGCGTGGATCGACCGCCTGCCAAGATCCGGAAAAGACTTTTTACGGCTTACGAGGGCCTCGGTTGGGCCAATTGTACAGCGGAATTTATTCACATGGCGGTGCAATCAGGGTCTTCTTCGGGCCTTTTTGGTTCGGGGGTTCCCGTGGTCTAGATCTGGCGTGTGATGCACATCATATACAACATATAGATCGGACTTCATGTCAACAGAGCCGAGGCTTTTTCAATCCTCTCATATTCTAAACATCCATCATCCCCAAAGACAGAACATGTGCAATTGCAAGTCAAACCTGGAAGATCTTGTCAAAGCATACCCGAGAACGCCCGACGACTTCATATCATCGGCTACGGAGTATGTCGCAGCTACCTACCCACGAGGGCTAATGTAAGCTAGGGAGACGACTACACCCGGCTGCTGAAAACGAGAGCTGGTTTCTGTTTCGCTTAGGCTTTGAATACCGTCATGGGTATGTACTCCTCGGCTATTCATCACAGCCGGCTTCGAATTCAGAATCCCAATGCTACCTCGGCAACAAGGATATAAGCGCAGGCCGGACACATGGAAGTGCAGCTTGGCTATACATTGCATCGAAGGTTACCTTATTGTCCACCAGAGACCGACTCCCGGATCTCGATGAATGAGTTCACAGCTAGAGGTAGCTTCTGTTGGTGCCGATAATGTTCCAATCGAGAGTACTATGGTACCAGTGGCAGGTTCCCGTGAAGAATGTTCCCTTCTTAATATCTGCACTAGTTAACAACGGCTAAGTTTACTGACTGTTTAATGAGAACCGATTTACCGAGGGTGACGGTTGCTGCCGTGATGGCATGACACCCTCTGTATCGGGTCGTGGCCATGGAAACAATGGGGTCCAATGAGGCAAGTGGCCTTGACCGATTGCGAATAAACTGCAAGTCTGATACTATTTGATGAGATTGGTTACCGGAACTTACGTTGGCATTCCAAGACATGTTGGCCGAAAACGGCCCTGTGATATTGACACGTGGAAATGTGGCACACGACACAATAGAGCAAGCGTTCAACATTATAAATGCACTTCATTTGATAGTAAACTGCTACATGTAACTAATGTCAAGAAGACCGGAGTAGGAAAAATCCGAATTGGCCTCTCATTGTATCCGAGGTCTATACCACCTGGTTTCCGTTTTTGGTTAGTGTTGTTGGTCGACCGTGGTGCAGATGAGCTCAAGCTCACGATCGTCGATTAGAGTTTTTTTAAGTAGAGATCTAGGCGTTGATCTAAATATATCAAGCCGGGGTAATGGACCACTTGGTGGTGATGTCAACATGTGCCACTGGATTGCATTTACCACCTAGTATATATATCCAGCTGATCCATCGTGCGCTTCAATTACGCAACGAGATAGTAGAGCATGGCTGAGCAGATCCAGCGAGACTGGCTCCAAGTATGTATTATGTTCACGAGTAATCACAGTATTAATGACATGGAAAGGTGGGAAGAAGCGAAAATGTCAAGTCGCAATGAGACTTAGAGTCGGCTGCTCCAAGGAAGAGACCAGAACCAGAAGTCTTGGGCCAATTTGCAAATCATAAGACGTCAATCAAGAGAACCTAGGGGTTCAGGGCTGACCAGAGTGGGTCAAAGGAGGCGGTGGGAGTCGCGTGGCCGACGCTCTTAGGAACAATGTCTATAACAGGCACAGCCCGAAAATAGAACGACGAGTATATCGAGAACGACGGGGAAATCCTGGGGCACAGCATACACTGCAAACCAAGGTGCCATGTCATGTTGAAATCGAGCCAAACACATATGCGGTCGGTAAGACGAAGACAGCCCAGCACGATGGAATAACATGATAGCATCGGATTATGTATTTTTGATACGAGTCTCGTTCCAGCAAGGGTGTCGAGTATCGAGGGGGACGTGGGTAAAGGGTGACGAGGGAGAAGCAGGTTCGAAAGACGTAAGAATCCTTCAAAAGATCCATCCAAGAATGATATAGAGAACGACACCCGCAGCAATACACATGCCCGCAATCTTCAACACGGCCACAGAATCGCCTTGCTTTGCCATCCGCGTGAGTCGAGTAGCGCTACCTTTGAGGTTCGTCGAGAAGGAGGAGAAGACATCGGTCTAAGAAGGTAAGATTGTCAGTCGCAAGTTAACCCGACCGAGGCGCCAGTCAAAGGTATCTGCAAGTAGCAAACACATGCCCTCAATTATTATCGCACTAGCGAAATATTATCGGACTAGCGAAAGATTGATCAAGACATACCGTATGGTCGAGAGTGTCCTGATCCCGCGCATTATCATGGATATCAATCGTCACCGACCGGAGAGCTGAGACCTTCGAGGAGAGGGAATTGAGGAGCGCATTATTCTGCCTGTTTCAAAATCAGCATTCAAATCGATGCATAACTCCTTTCATAGCGACATCCGATGGGACAAGGTGGAGAAAGGGGGACATACTGCTCGCGTTCGTAGGCGTCACTCATTTTTGATACTTTCAAGTTTCCCTCGATCTTGAAGGATGCTTATTCGAAATAATGCAAAGCGCGCCGAGACTGGGAGAATTGTCACTGAAATGAGGAGGAGTGGCCAAAAGCCTGGGGAATCGGAGCCGACGTCAGCCTAGTGGCAGATCAGATCACATGATCGTAGATCTTCACTATGTGGAAATTACGACTTTGCATTTATATTATCTTTGAGAGGCAGAGTTGAACAGTCTCACACTGTTTAGGTCACAGATATACATCCCAGTGCTATGTATAGCACGCCGTGTACGGAGTACACATTCGCGCATGATCTATAATACGGGTCCACTTTGTACGCAACTTCGAGTTTCATGATGGGCGGATAGCGATAGCTCATGATCAAGAGGAAAGTGATCTTGCAATTGGATATCATGCTGATATCTGCGACCATCTCTCGAATGAGTGTAGAATAAACACCCAAGTTTGGCGCTTTTGAAACCCATTTGGGATTATTGTGACAGTGCCCGAAGATGGCTCAACCAAACCCACACGTCTTTCACTGAATTGTGCCCTCGGGTATTGTTTCTGTTCTTCTTCTCACAGTCAAATCCCATCGAGCCTAGATAGAGAAATATAGAAGAGAAGCTGGGGAGGCTATATTGTACTTGATATGTATCGTTTTCGGACCCACAGCCGTTCCCCGCCTTGGATCGTCGTTTTACCCGCGTGGAACAGTTCAGGTCAAACTTTTTTTTTATCATGATTTGCAAAATGGCCTCAATTGAAGATGAAAGACCATCAAAACGAGTCCGTCAGGCTTGTGAGCCATGTCGGTGAGCTTGAACCTCAGATGTCCTAAGCTGAGAGCCAATTGGAGCTGACATTCCCGCAGCCGGAAAAAGTCGCGTTGCCCAGGGGAGAAACCGATTTGCTCGTACTGCGAGCGACTGGGTCAACAATGCGTATATGCAGGCGCTGAGATTGTAGATGAAGGCCTGGTGCACTCGCAGAAGATGATGGTAAGTAGCATTGATGTCCAGACCTAAGCAAATTCTAATGTGGCATAGGAGCAACGCATTTCCGGCATTGAGGGGAAACTGGAACAGTTGGTGGAATATATCACGTCGGTTCTGATTTCCGTTCTGTTTCGTTCCATTTGGCTGATTGAACTCGTAGGCGACCTGCCTCAAATCACCTCCCTTCGCCAGTTGTTCCCGAGAATAACCCTCAGATACCAGAGCTTCCACCCCCGGCAAGCTTTTCTATGTGAGTTCAACTTGGGATATACTCGCAGGAGACATTCATTAACAAATGAAATAGAGCTGGATCACCTGCGATCCCAGATGCTGAACTTTATCTGACCTTTTGTAACGCACAGCCCCTTCTGTTATTCCCCCACAGATCTTCTCTAGTCTCCCTGGGGAAGCGGGACCCCGAGCTTCTACTCGCAATTGAAGCTCTTGGAGTCCGTTTCAAAAGACCAGGGATCATTGACCAGGATATACAACTGGAGATCAAAATAAAAACAGAAAGGGCCTCTCAGATGGTCATGATGCGTTTGGCATCAGGTACTGTGGAGCTATCTACTATCCAGACCCTATGCCTTCTAAGTATGCTGGAGTTCACAGGTAAAGCAATCCCGGCCCGTGCCCTTGTGTCTATTCCTAACATTGTATTCCATCTGTTCAGCGGGTCATATCATTCGCGCGGGGTCTTATACCACACTTGCCACATATTTGATGAGAAACCTCAGAATAAATGGCCTGGAGTCTCTAAGCAATTTGGAAACTGAGCGCGATGAGCGGAAGCTCTGCCATGTAAGTATTGTCATGCTTAGGAACCTCCAGGGGTCCCTACATCCACCTGGAGACAGCTTGGACTTACTTGCAGAGCCTGGTCAAACCGTCTCTCCATTGGCAACCATGATTTTCAACAAAGAGATCGCCTATGGTACCAGCTGTGACTCCAAGCCAGATATTGGCATCAATGGTAGCAGTGTTTACACAAGCGAGCTGTGGGCGATGGCATGTATTTATGCCGCAAGCCATGTAGGCGTTGACGCTCATCCCCCATGGTCTCCAAATTCTGAGTACGCCATGCTAAATTTCCGACACTGTGAGCATGAGAGTCTCATGCCACTTAGGTTCCGACTTCATGCAAGTCGGTTCCAAGACCATCCCCCCGCCGAACTTCAGGCTCATCGTGACTATTGGAGCCCATGGCTATTCTTCCAGTTGGTTTGGCACGCGGTGCCTTGTTTAGTAAACCATCCGTTTCTTTTATCTATGCGACTTCGGAACTTCCGGAGGACAATGCCTCAGTCATTCCTCCGGAATTCTTTCGAGCAGCTGACCTTCCACTCGGGCTGGGTCATTCATTTTCTTGAGCTTATCGAGGCCAAAAGCTTCGAGGTATCTGACCCGACTTTAGGGCAATGTGTGGCAATTGTCGCTACGATCTATCTTCAACATAGTTTTGTCGAGGATGAAGCTTTTAAGAGAAAGGCGCAAACGGGATTTGAGAAATGCCTTAGATTCCTACGCAATATGGGTTGTCGGTGGCCACACATTGATCGACAGGTTAGTTCTTTTTCCAAGCTGTTTCTTTGGCACACCGGTCCTGATGTCACTTCAAGGTCCGACAACTCCAACAACTCCGGGACAGCGTTTCCCCTGGAGGCCTTATGACAGACAACACCGCCCCAGCAGGAACCAACTCCCGTCAGAAGTGGTCTGTGAACTTGCAATTATTATGGAAAATTTTAGTATATGCCCATGCGAGCAATATATCAGATCCTGCTAGTGACATCTTTGGCCCGGAACTTGCCAAAGACAGTGTCGGATGCTCCGGGGATCCTTCGGCTGGCGCTATCACCGAACGTGATTTTGCTTTGATTGGATCTGCTGGGATATCAGGTCACAAGACAGTGGCTCCCGAGTGCGTCACCTACCCACCTGAACAGACTGAAGATCCTATACAAACGCCGAGTCAGACCTCACCGAGGATGGACTTTTCCGGGCTTCCGGGAGATCCCAATATGGACTTTAGCGGCGGTGATAGCGGCGGTGATACCTTGTTCCTGCAGCTTCAAGATTATGGGAGGGCGTTTGAGGATTGGCTAAGCGTTAACCCAACGTGAGTTTAGAATGTAAACATTCTATGCATATCTACCTCCGATCCGGGGAACACGGACCGGATCCGACTTTGCCGGACGCCAAGACGGTACTGAACCGGCTTTCCTTACCGACACCCTCTGCATTTTATAATCCTGGGAAATCCTCCAACCGATTGCAATTTGACAAAATCCCTCTGGCTGTCAATCTGTTCTTCAAAATGACTACAGCTAAGACAGACTCCATTGTGATCGTGGGCGCCGGCGTCTTCGGTCTTTCGACCGCTCTTGAACTCAACAAGCGCGGATATACGGATATCACCGTCGTCGATCGATTTGTACCACCATCAGCAGATGGAAGCAGCGTTGACATCTCGCGCATTATTCGCGCTGACTATGCCGACCCAATCTACTCTCGAATGGCCCGGGAAGCATACAATGGATGGACCACCGAGTACAAAGATCAATACTTTGAATCGGGATTCGCCATGTTTTCGGAAACGCCCAAGAATGCATATATAGAGAAATCTAAGACTATCATTCGGGCGGCAGGTGGCAAATTAGACGATCTCGACGACGCCATGGATATCCGCAAACTTTACCCTAGTGTTCAAGCAGACTTTTCCGGCATGAACGGATATCACAATCCGAAAGGTGGATGGGCTGATGCCGCAGGCAGTATTCAGAAGCTTGCTTCCAAGTGTACTGTCGCGGGCGTTTCCATCATTGCCGGGCCTCGCGGTACTGTTGTCTCCCTGCGCAGGGTGGGGTCGCGCGTTGTTGGTGTCAACCTTGTTGGAGGCCAGGTATTGCTTGCTTCACAGGTGATCTTGAGCACCGGAGCGTGGACCAACCGTCTTGTAAACATGGGTCATGTGGCATCTTCCTCTGGCCAGCCTGTTGGTTTCATTCAGTTGACCGAGGAGGAGGCTCTCGAGATGAGAAAGATCCCGGTCATGATTAACATGAGCTCTGGTGTTTTCTCGTTCCCGCCCACACCAGACACAAATGTTCTCAAGATGGCACGCCACGGTTACGGATATGCAACTGATATCGTTGTCAATGTGGACGGTGTTCAGAAGTCACTCTCATCGCCAAAGCTCGAAAGCAGCAATGCGGCCACTGGATATCTGCCCGACGATGCCGATGAATCGCTGCGAAAGGGATTGCGTCAGTTCTTCCCTAAGCTGGGGGACCGCCCTTGGATGAACCGTCGACTGTGCTGGTACACGGATACCCCTAATGGTGACTTTATTATTGACCACCACCCAACCATCCAGGGCCTATTCATGGCTACTGGTGGTGCAGGACAGTAAGTTTTGATGGAACTATCACTTTGCACAGTAAGACTTTATACTAACTAACCTGGTTTTAGTGGATTCAAATTCCTCCCTATCCTGGGCCAGTATATCGCGGACTGCTTCGAGAACAAAGCACCTGAAGCTTTGCGCCAAAAGTGGAGGATGAACCCGCCCCAGGGAGGTGACTCGAAGGGGCCGATGGCAGGTGACGGAAGCAGAGGAGGGCCTCCTTTGAGAAAGCTGAGCCCTCTCGAACAAGCTAAGCTGTAAATAAGGGTGCAATATCGGATGTCACGAGGATAGGTATGACGATCAAATATATTTCTCACTCATGCGCTCCGTAAGACCATCTGGACACATAGCGTAGCTTTTGGCGGGCTAAATGGCGATGCTCCACATAATGAAGCGTGAAGCGCTATAGGTTCATATCGGGTTAGACCGAGCAATTCAGCCTTGTTATTATAGCTAATAAACCGGCCAATCAGCGACGTACAACTCAGCCTTGAGGAGCGGTACATTTGACCCGAAGCGGTTAGACTGGGCAGCCGCAATAACCTCAACCTAGTTGCTTAGAGCCTTTTTTAGTGCAATATATTATGATTTTGTAGCTGTCTACGGCGTATTCCGCACTGAATATAGACGCGCTACTGAAAGCCTCCAGTGTTTGTTTTGAGATCCACGCTCCGCTTCTCCACTCAGGTCTTCACCCCACCATGCCGGGCGTCCCAACAGGTCGGGCCTGTGACGCGTGTCGCAAGCAGAAGAAAAAGGTACGTGCCATAAGACTATATCACACGTTGCTAATCTTAATAATATGCCAAGTGTGACGAGAAACAACCTGAGTGTGGACGATGTCTTCGTCTGAAAGTGAGCTGTGTGGGGTCCGGTCAGCAACGATTCAAGTTCAAAGAGCAACAATTTTCCCCCAAATCAAATCGAAGCGGTCAAATGACTCTCACATCAAGATCAAAATCAACAGAAAAAGTAATTTTTTCTTTTGAAATACCCCGGGCATGTCCTGGCAATAGTATGATGTCGTTGACCAATTCGTTCGTCGGCGCCATAAAACGATCCACTGACCTCCGGTACAATCTGTGGTGGGCTTTCGGCACTTTCCTGGAAGATATACCCCGACGACTCGGCAGCAACGAAGCACTCGACCACGCAGTTGACGCTGTAACCACTGCCCACGCAGGCTTCTGCACCGGTCAATCGGTTTCGGCTGAGACACTAGCCAAGTATTCATATGCGCTCAAGACCCTGAGAGTCTATCTAGACCACCCAGTCCAGGCGAGTGCTTCCAGCACACTATGTGCTGTCATGATACTTTTGGTCTGCCAAACATTCATCGGAAATAACGGGCAAATGATATCAGGACATGCGCAAGGGGCCGCCAGCATTCTGCACGCGCGAAAGAACTTTGGGCCACGCGATGACTTTGAGCGTAAATTGTTCCTCTCTTTACGTGGAAGCGTGGTAGGCCACACACGACTCCACCACATTTCTTGCCTAAGCTAATCATATACCTAAGTTATTCGAGGGCTTATACAATGATGCTGTCGACCTGAGCTCCGAGGAGTGGGATTCCTTAGTCAAAAATGACTTTGATCAAGATCAACCCGAAGGCCAGATTTTGCGATGTCTAGCGCGAGCCCCAGTTCTAATGAGACGCGGCAAACAAGCTATACGCGATGGCGAAGATTTGATGCTATTGACGATGGAAGTCCGACCAATATACGAAAAATGCAAATTGATCCTGGGCGAATTGCAAGTACGAACAGTCGAATTTGAAAAGTCCGGGCTCACTATGACAGAAACCTTCATGGGCCGTATCTTGAGAGCACATTATCTCCGCACCCATGGAATTGGTCTCGCAATCACGACATTTTTCAATTGCATTCTCCAGGCATTGGATCCCAGTGACTATACATGCATGGTAGAATCGAAATCTCTTGTTAAGGAAACTCTCGAACATGCTCAGAAGTCCAATGTTTACAGACCTGTTGGAGCAGGATACGTGATAATGTGTCTCTCGGCAGCTTGGGCCGTTACTGCAGATCCCGAACTGCGGTCAATGGTGGAAGCCGCCTTGATTGACTATCATGGTGACTTTGTGACCCGCGATGTTGTGAATATACCCAAAGAGCTGGAACAGGCGAGTGTGAATTTACGGCTAGGATTGACTGCTCAGGCGAATGCAATTTTTGTCCCCTCAGGATAGAGCTGTGTAACACCCAGTCTTCTCGTGGCATTCACAACTCACACCAATACCGTCTCATAATCAGGCTAGGACGAATGTTGAAGTCGATGGACCCGGTGATTTGGAGATTGCATTAATAGCGCTGGCGGATCAGGTCTCTGGCGAGGGATTATATGCTAGAGAATAACATTCTCGAACAATCCACGGTATTAGAAAGTAGTCGAGGGCTTAACCCATAGATATTATATAGGTAAGGTCTTATTGAATTGCTAATGGTAACAGAAGTAGTTCATTTACATAGGACTCAGGTAGAAGGTCGACTCATAGCACATATCTCTTTGATTCAAATGTTTCCAATGCTCAAATGTTTATTAATAGGAATAATATAAACAAGTTGGATTCTAGGTAAACCGTAGGTTACGGCCAATTCAGCCTCAAGGACAACCTTGGGTATAGAAAGTGGGAGACGCCTGACAAACAAGGCCACCTGGGTACGCAACAAGCCTCAATTGCTATACATTGTCCACCTCCATCTGATTTTCCTCCTTGTGATTGTGGCTTTACTATCACTCGCACTTTATCTGCTCAAAATCCCCATCTACTCAACTTTCTTCTCTCTTCCTCAACCTCAAGTGCTCATCTCCCACCCGCTCATATCTCATCTTGGATTCCTTTCTCTGCTTGGCAACTTGTTTATTCTTCTAGCCAATCTTTCTTTCATCTTTGTTACAAACCCTTCATCTCGATTCTCTTTCCCTCGACTGTCACATCTTCAGCACCCAGTACTTTGACATTGCCTCTGGCGACAGCGATCATGTCGCTTGATATTCTACCCACAGAGCTCATTCTCATGATTGAGAAGAATCTGCATTCCCAGAAAGACCGCAATGCCTTGATTCGCACGAGCCCGCGTTTCGCCCTCATGTTCGACGAGAAACTATACAAGAGCTGCTCAGCACAGGAACACAGCTATATTATCCTATGGGCAGCTAAGCGAGGCCTGGAGGGCACCATACACAAGTGCCTGAAGGCTGGCGCTAAAATTCCACGGCGAGATAGATTCAGGTCTCATTTGATCGATCGCGACGCACCCGAGTCTTTGAGTGTCATCCCACGGCACCCCAAATCACACCCATTGACCGCAGCAGCCGAATTTGGCTCACTGTCTTGCGTCAATCTTTTCCTTGAGAAAGGCGTCAATCCCAACTTGTTGGATGAACATTACGAAACTCCACTGAGACAGGCTGCAGGAAATGGCCATGTCAATGTCGTTGAGTTGTTACTTTCCAGCGATGCTCTCGCATTCACGGGTGCCTTCAAGTTGCGACGACCTCTGAAGATTGCTGCGGCTCGCGGTCATTTACCCGTGCTCAAGGCGCTGTTCTCTTTCCTTGGGAGTGGCGATCGAAATCTCACCGTCAAAGATGCTGCCCAGATCATCCTGTACGAGGGACTCTGGCACAGCAAAGTAAGTGTTGTCAGGTATGCACTCAAACAGGGTGCGGATGTGAATGACGAAAATTCCGAGTTCGTGTTGCGGTTCGCTCCAGATCTACGCCCAGACGATCCCCCCGAGAAAACACGATCAAGATTGGTCCAAGGTCACAAGATCGGAGTGACAGTTCGAGGGATCCCCACCGCAGGCTGGTCGAACCTCATCCCCAATACCCTCCACGCTGCGCTCGTTGGTGGTGATAGGAGGCTGATTGATTTGATCATTGACACTGGTTATGATATTACTCAAATTGGGTCCATCCTGCGGTATGCAGTCCTTCGGAGAGAGAACGTACTCATCAGTAAGTTGATGAATATGGGGGTCAACATCACCTCCAAAATTCTTTATGAGTCCGTTTGTGGTGAAGATTTGGTTATGAAGGAGTTCATGAAGACGACCTTGGAGAAGACTATGGAAGAACTGGGACTCAATAATTGACCAGACTGGTACATTTGTTTTGCGCCACACCGAAAGACCATGTTGACACATTCTCTCTACAAAAATTTGATCAACCTCATATTTGCCTTGCATATTTCCAGTTTTCTGTCATTTCTTCCTCTTTATATCTTCTACCTAGAAGATGAAGATCTCAGAATTAGGACATGATAAGTTAAAAAAACCAAAGAAAAAGCATCTGAGCAATGAAATCAAGCCTTTGAACACCCGGCATCTGATTGCTGGGCGGTCCTTGTTTATAATAAAACTTGATTATGATTTAACTACTTCTAGGTAGAGATTTCATGTAAGCGCTCCAATTCTTGAGCCAGGATATTATTAAAAAGCAATCCTCAACGCGCTCTGTTAATAAACAGTACGTATATTGTTCGCCCATTCTGATCCTATGAAAACAGCTGGTTCTTCAATTCCACCAGATCTTGCTCTGAAGCATGCCTCATCATCCATTCGTCTTGCATGAGCTCATACGAGTCGGCCCTCACTTCCGGATCCCACGTTAGTATCTTGCGTATGAACCGGAGAAACCGGTCTTTTTCCTCTCCTGGTGGGATGGTAGTGACGAATTCCTCCAAAGTAGTTTTGGGGATGGGGGGCTCCGACACCCAGTTGCCTATAAAAAAGCTTTGGTAAGCTCAACTGTGAAGCCTAGGGTTCAAGGGAGACTTACCCTGTTCATCAAAATATGCTGAAAATAGTGGACTCTTGCGAATCATCTCCAGTGGTGGAGGACCCAGATATCCGATATACTGGGCCAGTGCCAACGGAAGAACATACTGATTGTTGACTCGGTCAATGGGGTCGAATAGGTTCTTCCCTTCCGTGAGCTCAAGTGTCTGATTGGTTTTGGACCTGAGTTAGACATAGTATCACAAAGTTTAGGTGTACTAGTACTTACCATGACACCGATAGAGAACACATCAACAGGATACTCCCAAGGCAGGCCTAAGAGGACCTCTGGAGCTTTATACAAATCAGACATCCACCAATCCTGGTTAGTCTGTCCTTCTGCTAGCCGCATTTGCCCAAAATCAATAAGAATCGGGTCACCTAAAAGCTCCATCATCTTAGCTCGTCGAGACCTGTATACGGGAGCCGCTCCATCAGTCGTCATTATAGGGACGCTAGGATCCTGTGACTCTTGGCTCTCGATGTCCTTGAGGCAGCTATCATCATCGAGTTGCATCAGAACATTTTGAGGTGAAATATCTGCTCACAGTTTAGTAAGTGGGAGATGCAAAAGGTGCCGCTACCTCATTTGAACGTACTAGTATGTATGACACCGCAGACTGAATGAAGCCAGTCGACGGAAAACCACAAGCAGTGTATGATGGATTTCACCAGAAGCTTGGGCAGGATACTATTTGGAAACGCCTCCTGTAACACGCGAATACTCTGGCCTTCGGGTTTTGAAGCGATGCAGTAGTATCGGCCATGTAGGGACGCTTGATCATTTTCAAAGATATCGTCTGCAAGACGCGTAAACCCCACCCTGGGATGGTCGCCTTCATCGGTATCCGCGAATCTCTTCAAGCGCCGCAGCATGTTGATCTCGTTAAGAATCGGGGAAGAGTCGGTACCTTGGCTAATACATACTTTGAGTGAGGTATACTGCTCTGCCCTAAAGAGTGCGTGAATACTCAGTATTCAGAAACAGATAGGATAAGTAGGATTTGCAAACCTCTGATCCCAGGCAAGCCAAACAGTGGGATACGCCCCGTATCCTAGCTTTGCAATAACCCGGTACTGGTCCTTAAACACCTCGCCAATTTTTACCGGGTAGTAATGCTTTTCATGATACCGTGGTAAGCTCTGTGCTTCGATTCTTTCTCCAGCCATCGTGTGGTTGAGTCGACAAAATGTCAGAGGCACTTGCAGGGAACATGTTCGTCTGATTTGCCATAATGATCTAGAGAGAACACGCATTTTTGAAATGATGAGGAAGTCTCCCCTGAACATGATTGCGGAGCGAAGCGAAGCATATCAAATCACAAGGTCTTCTTACGTATATGTCACGTGTCCAAGTTTTCTTCTATGCATCCGCTGCCAAGCTTTTGTGGCTTCGGGAACACCCCTGGGCCGTGATGATCATCTTGAGGCTTCCAATTTATACCCTTAGGCTCAATTTCCTATCCAGGGGTGACATAGGAGTCCTTGTACTATTAGAGTATCGGAGATATGAAGCAAATAGTAGAGTAACCCTTTTGCATGATAATGTAGTCCTGCAAATCCATACAGCGATAGAAGGAACAAACATATCGCAGAGGCATTCTAGAAGTTTACTGTGATGTTTGACATTAGATTATTCTAGAATTTTAATTTAAATTCAACTGTTTCCTGCCTTCTTTTTGACTCGTTCAACCCTCATCATCTTGTCTCCACCGCGAGCTCCCACTATCCCCATCAAGAGCTTACATTATGGAGTCTCTCCAACTTTCTATGAATACCTTGGAGATAGGTGAGCATATGAAGCTTGTCAAAGGGGACACTGGTTCCTCGAAAACATCGCCATACGAAAACACCCGCTTGGACGAGGAACTGATAACGGCACCTCTATTCTCACTCTCTGCTTGTCAGGTCCTGGACACCGACCGTCTGTATAGCGATCAAGCTCTTGAGAGAGACACATTTCCACAGTATGGACTGCTTGGTCTGCGTAACCGGTCCAGCAACACACCGACACAAGATGATCTTGTGTATGCAAACGTGTCAGCGCCTTGGTCTGCCTTCATCTGTGGGAGTCAAGGAAGTGGTAAAAGTCATACCCTGTCCTGCCTTCTGGAAAATGCATTGATTGCATCCTCCCCAGCTGGGAAGCTAGCATCACCTCTGGCTGGACTAGTCATTCACTATGACAATTTCACTGCATTTTCCAGCACGCAGTTGTGTGAGGCAGCTTATCTCTACTCCTCAGGCATTCCTGTCCAAGTTTTGGTCTCCCCGACCAACTACCTTGCCATGAAAAAGGCATACAAAACACTGGCAGGCGGTTCCAAAATGCTGACGGTGAAGCCATTGTATCTGCCACAAAAGGATCTCAACATCGGCATGATGAAGACCTTGATGGGCATCGGCAACAAAGCCGAGCAACCTCTTTACATTGAGGTATGTCAGCACACCTTTCATTCAAGCTGAAAACGTACTAATAAGCTACTCACATAGGTTGTGATGAAGATTCTTCGAGACATGGCTATAGCCAACCAGGGGAAATCCGGATTCAATTATAGTGCGTTCAGAAATATTCTGCAACGTGAAACTTTCTTGAAAGGCCAAATCGGGCCTTTGAATATGCGCTTGGAGGTGCTCGAGTCATTTTTTGAACCTGGATCTGTGCCTGGTGCAAGTCCCAACAAGTCAAAGCAACACGATGTTGATGATGTCTGGAAATTTCCTCCGGGCAGTTTGACAATAGTTGATTTGAGCTGCCCGTTCGTTGGTCAAGAAGATGCATGCGCTCTCTTCAACATCGCCGTTTCCCTGTTTTTGAAGAACCGCCGAGACACAGGTCGTATCATTGCTCTGGATGAAGCACACAAGGTTTGTGGCCCTTCCTAATTTCCTGAGTCATCTATTATCTTTTATACTGACACTTAATTTGATTCTAGTTCATGACCTCAACGTCGACAGAAGCCGCAGATCTGACGGAGACACTGCTATCTGTCGTCCGCCAGCAGCGACATCTAGCCGCCCGCGTCTTGATAGCCACACAGGAACCGACTCTTTCACCGTCACTTCTCGAGCTGTGCAATGTGACTATTATCCATCGCTTCTCGTCGCCAGCTTGGTTCAAGGCAATAAAGTCACACATCGCGGGAGCTGGTATTGAGAAATCTGATGCAAACGCCGCGGCCTCGATCTTTCACAAGATTGTTCGTTTGCCGACTGGTGAAGCTCTGGTATTCTGTCCAACAGCGCTGTTGGACATTGCAAAGCACAATGCCAAAGAGAATGAGGAGGCTTCAAGTGTCACCTCTTCCGATCGGCCAGTTAGTGAAGAAGGCTCGTCCTCTGCAGACAGCACTCGGGCCAAAGATGAGCCTACTTCGGATCGCGTTGTCCAGCTCGGAACAGCGTACGCTCGCATTCGAGTGCGGAATAGGATCACTGTCGACGGTGGTCGCAGTGTCCTTGAGCGTTGAGGTTCCCCGGATTGAAGTGGAAAAGTAAGGTGCATTTATCGTGCATGAAAAATTTCCGCTATAGTCAGACTATCTAGAATGTGGATTCTACGTGCTACCTACTTAGATGTGACAGGTGATCAATACAATGCTTGAAATTATGTCTTGATGTTCATTGTATGCAGACTTCTTTCCGCATCATCCACTGAGTACAATAAAAATCTTGATGATTCATAGTCCATTCGTAAGACGAATATTTACCATTATTATACTCCGTACCGATAATGCTTTTAGATCCATTTGGACATTCCACGTCATATTTGAGGCTTTGGAGAATTCTGATGACAACTCTCAACTCTAGAAGGACCAGACTGAGACTCTTGAGATCAATTGGTTATACAAGATGCACTGCGAACCCAAACGTAGCTTGGCCTGACAGTGGTGGAAGTGTCGGAGAGCACAGACAGAGATAGATACTCAAGACTGAACGGGGACCTTTTATTACGACAGTCAAGACAAGAATTCGTTCCGACAAGCAACCTAGATACCAATTGGACTATTTTAATATCTACCAAGAGTTGTCCAATAAGCGCTGTTCCGACCTTATGTTCATGCTTCGTGCAACATCTTATGTACTCCGAGACCTCTCCTAGGCAACCATTTTGAAATACTAAAGCCTCTGTGGAGGCGGGATTGCTTTCTGACTAGTAAATCTAAACAAAATGAGGAGTTAATTGCTTACCGGCTTCTTCTCATTTCCGTGTGTGGAGCCGGGAGTTGGGTTGAAAATCGTATTCCCTTGGGTTTTTGTCCTACTTACGCTCATAACGACCGAGAGTACCTAGAACACAATACTTTCGATGTAGCTAGACCTTTCGGAGTTGTTGTCCCACGTCTAATAAGTTGTCTATTTAATAAGACTCAATGACCATAAAGTGGTGCCCTCGAATAAGCTTTCGGTATGTGTTGACAGGTCTGAATATATAGTTCCATGTAAGCCCAATCGATCTAAGATATTTGATACGTACAATCTCCCAGGGCATTTTATAGCTATAAGACCTTCTAGTGCATTATCGGCACTCAAGACGTTTGAAAAGAGCAATTATACCATGAATCCCTGCCATTCGGTATCGAATCTAAACAGGCCGCAGCAGTCATCCTAGGGGTCCCGTGCCCTAGCCAATGACTATGGCTGCGTTAAGTAGTTATATGAACAAGTAATGTATACGAAATCTATCTTTCCATTGCGATACGGACAAAAACTATGACGCGCGGCCGGTCAAAATTCCAGACGTTGTACATCATGGATTGAGTCGACGAAAAATTCTCATATGGGCTGAAAATGAAGTTGCAAGCTACAGAATGCACATTTAATCCTCAAGATCCATTTGACTGCAACGCACTAGTAGATTCACACCACGGGGACAAGAAAGTGTGGTCGTCACCTAACTATTCTGTACTCTGACACACACCTGGGAGCACGATGCGTGATGGATCAAGGCATCACGGCAAATCAGTCCAAAAATAAAGATTGCCATTCAAATTTGAGAAGACCCCGTGAGAGATACAGCCCCCTACCACCGTCATTGGGGCTATAAAGTACCATGTTCCCGTCTTATATCGCCCCTGGCTTTGACTTCCTCCAACCTCACGAATATTATATTTCGGCCCGACCTTCCAAGATTGACAACTATTTCCTTGGAATACTTCACCCCATATTGGATATTATTGAAGCCAATCAATATGCGGATGAATATTATCTGCCTGGCGGTTCTGGCTGCTACAGCTGCAGGTATGAAATATCGTCCGCGGGAATACAATCAATATAGTAACCGTTGAATCAGGTCTCACTGTCACTTCCCCCCGGATTGGTGAGAAGATTGACCCCGACCTGCCTCTTACTATCAAGTGGCAGTCCGTCTCGTAAGCTGCTAGTTATCCCAGTGCTTTATGAACACTGGCAATTTGCTAACCAGAAATACAATATTAATAGAACGGATCCGCAAACCTTTACCATCGAACTGGTCAATCAGAATGTCTACCCTCCGACAACGACAATTGTGGCAGATGATGTAGACTCTTCCAAGGGCTCCTACACTGTCAAAGCAAAAACGTTCGCGGATGTAGATGATGGGTAAGTTCAATTTCATTGCATTCTATTTGAATTACTGACTGATGAGCAATTTAGGAAGGGATATCAGATCAACTTCCTCTCTCCGACTAGCGGCATTCTGGCTCAGTCTCAGCAATTCCTAGTCACTGAGCCTGGTGAAATCGCTAGTAGTGCTAGTAGCTCTGGTAAGGAAACCAGTACTGCGCTTGAAACTTCGTCTGCCTCGTCCTTGATTTCTTCCACCGCGTGGACCAGTGATCTTACTTCTTCGACTCCTTCTTCCTCGACTACTTCCTCTTACCTGTCTTCGACTGCTACTCACACCTCCATCAGTGCGTCTAGCCCTACCTCGTCCTATTACTCTACTGCTTCATCTTCTATTTCTACCCCTACAACATCTTCTTTTATAACTAGCTCTTCTGCAAGTGCGTCTACCTCTTCCGTTTATTCTTCTATTACTTCAACCTATACTTCCACCCCTGAAGGACCATCTTATTTCCCCTCAACACCCTCTACTTTGACAGTTACAACTTCTTACACCGAGACCTTGACTACTACCTTGATGCTTACCACCCTCACTTCTTCCTCAGTTACTTCTATTTCTACAATTGCAACTTCTTCTTCTATTACACCAACTCCATCCTCCATTATATCTACCTTTACTACCCCGACTACTTCTATTTCCATTACCACGTCGTCTATCCCACCTACTACATCCACACATCTTCCTACCTCGACTTTCATCACATCAAGCACTATCTCATCTACCACATATCTTTCTACCCACACATCCACTACCCCTGGTTAGTAAAGGCGGAAAGCGTAGCTTCCGAGACAGCATTTTGTTTTTACCCACTTCATGAAAGAAACAGGGACTGACTTATCCATAGAATGGACCTCATCTTCAACCATCACCTCGAGTAGTCTGTCCACCGCAACCCATTCGAGCACTACTTCGACCACCACTCACAAGACTACTTCGACCACAACATCGACTGCTACGGAGTCGGCAAGTACCACCTCGAACGCTGCTGCCGTCCTCATGCCCCCTTCTGGCAGTCTGCTTCTGGGTCTGTTTGCGCTGGTCCTTTAAATCACCGATGTCGGTCATCCTTCATCCAAACTGGCCAGCTGGATATCCGGGAACTTATATATATGAGTTGGAGATAGTTCTGGGGTATTTGGGGTAGTCTTTTTGGATAAAGTCTACTATTGTGAAATTTGGGCTAGTTGACTAGGAAACATTTATTTTGCTTGATGATGTTGATGTTGATGTTGATGATTTGGTCTATGGACCTATGGATGATTATGTCCCTTCCATTAATGAGAAATGCGATGATGCTATGCCTGTTTCATAATTTTGGAGTTATACTATCAGTCAAATCTTTGAGTTAACCATTACTCTATTCTCATTAATTCTGTTGCCAGATAGGAAAGAAAAATAGATGGGTAGCTCACGGTGTTAGTAGTGAAAACCGAGGTGAAACCCGAGAACCTCGAGTTAAGTGTGCCGTCGCTTGGTTTCTAGGATGACATATAGAACAGCCCTTACACACAATCAGTATGTACAGATTTAGATTGGTAAGGTAATATCGACATAAAAAAATATCATGTGTTAGGAGTAGAAAACGCGACGCTAAAAGACTGAAATCTCGATTGGTAACCCCCAAGGCTTCCAAGACTGTAAATCCCAAATGGAGCATCATGATTTGATGACGCTGTCGCTGGGTCGATCCCAAGTGCGAATATGGCCTGTGTCAAAATGTCAGTATTAATTAGCCCCAACCAACCTCATTATACACACCTTCAAGAGACGAAGTCATGATGCAGTCTTTCTGGAAGCCAAGCCAGCAGATAGGATCTTCGCCGACGATTTTGGACTACGGATCAGTTAGTCTTCTGAAGCAGGCAATTTGGCTGTCAATAAATGCTTACCATAATCGGGGGCAAAAGCGCTGTGCGAGACTTGGGTTCCACGGGATGACTCGTCGTCTGATCGAGATCTTCATTGAACTTGTCGGTTTCATTTGAGTCCGAACGCACACGGTTGTCGCCGCTGTCTGCACGGTGGCGATTAGCAATTTGAGAATTTGGCACTACAATGCTGGATCGATTTCTACTTGAGGCATGGTGTGCCCGGGGACGGTGGAGCATTCCAACGCTGAAGTCCCACAAGAGGAGGCGGCAGTCGTCACCGACGCTGCCGAACCGGTATGTCTTCTGGTCACAACGCCAAGGGTCGAATGCAACCCACGAAACCCAGGAGTTGTGTCCTTGGCATCTAGCAACAACCTTGCGCTCGGGGAAGGACCAAATCGTCAGTAAATCATCCTGGCCTCCGGTTACGATGTATTTGCCATCCGGCGACCAGCAGACACAGATCAGGCCGCCATAGTAGCTGCGGAATATATCCAGTACCCTAGAAGCGTTATTTAGTAATCGTTCGGTCCTCTTAACATAGGACAAACATACTCCTCTTTCAAGAAATCCATCAGTCGTAGCGACCCATCTTCGAGAACCACGGCCAGATGCCTTTGATCAGGGGAAAAGGAGAAGCTTGAAACTTTCTGGTTTGCCATTTTCCAAAAGGAGACCGGATTGGTCTTCTGGTTCTTGGAGTTCACAGATTTAAGGATGTCCAATGGCAATCGTCCAATTTCTTGTTCGGAATGGTCGTTCACCTCGGGAGTGAAAAGGGCATCCTCCTTCTCTTTGTCGTACACAACCAGCACACCGTTAGCGTGCGACGCTAAGAACAGGTTCTCAGACCCAGGAAGCCATTTTATGTGGGTGACGGGTGAGTTATTGACCACACCATTCTTGTTGATCCGAGCGTACTTCTGCGACATGGGCTCATACCAAATGATGTCGCCCGCCGAGGATCCCATCACAATGTCCAAATGTGATGACGTCTTCGTGAGTTCGTTGATGTCGTGACAGAGCATATGCGCCTTCGTGAAGAGAACTTTGGTGAGATGCTCCTCTTTCGTAGGCGAACTGAGGTCGAGCCATTGGAATGCTCGGTTGATATTCGCAAAGGCAAACACACCGTTCGGGTCACGGTCGCTCAATCGCTTGGCAGATGTCTCGTGTGTAATGACTCGCGAAACGAAGGAAGAACTGCTCTTGATGATGTTGTTCTTGGGCTTCCTTCGCTTCGCTGCGTCTTTCGCTGCCACCGGTGGCGCCGCAAGCGCCGGGTTTTCATCTCCAAATTGGGGAACTGTGATACCTGACTTCAAGAAAGTCGGAGGCTTCTTTCGAGGGTCGAGGGTAACAAGAGATAGCTTTACGCCAGTGGTAGGGGGTGTGGGTAGAGTTGCAAGAGGGTTTGGGTTGATGATAGGAGCTTCAGACGGGTGGGGAGGCGGTGTTGCGAGGAGTAAATCATCCTGAAGGGTGTAGGTTCCTGTCGCAATATAAAATGTAAGACATCTCTGATATTCTGAAGGAAGCAGGACATTTAGGAAACACCAGCGATCGTGGAGCGCACATACCCTCGCCAACTTGCAGTGGACAGCCACGCTCCGGGTGGGTAATAGTATTATTCATTTCCAGAACAGGGACCGCCATACCATTTGCCGCCCCCGCCGCATAGGCGACAGGGATGGTATAGCGTGGAGGAGGAGGGGGAAGCACGCTGTTGCTGGTGTCAGCAAGTGTTGTGGTTATCTGGTGCCTCAAGAGATATGCAATTCTCTCGAATTACGTTGATAATAGTAAGGGCACAGGGCTGAGCTTGTAGAGTGAAAGTAGCAGATTGGGAGAAGTAGGAAAGGAAAGAAAGAGCGTGCTTACAACATGATTAGTCGTCACTCGTACAGGGTACAGGCGCAATTTGAACTCGGGCTGAGATCTGGTGTGACAAACAGAGCAACCTTGGACCCGATAAGGCAAGTGCAAAAAAGATGCCAGGTCTGCGATGTACTTTATTCAGACTTTCCTCTTTTGATCTTATATCTGCAAGCTCTTATGTGTTGGGAAGCGATGGACAGGTTTCAGAATATGGCAGGGGGGGGGGGGGGGGGGGGGGGGGGTGTGTGGGGGGGGGGGGGGGGGGGGGGGGGGGGGGGGGGGGGGGGGGGTGGGGGGTGTGGGGTTGGGTCGGG